TCATGGTTAGTGGTAAATACAAAGAAAACACCAACTTTGTCTTGGGACGACGGCAAAACAGCTTTCATGTCAACTATAATGGAGATGTAATAGAGATTGCATTAAGGTGAATTCACCAAAGCAAAAACAATAAACTCTGTCTTTTCATTTACTTCTTGCTTTGCCGTGCCAATAAGACATTTTCAACTGGTGACTATGAATCATGACTATCAGACACGTCATATCAACTTTATTATTAGGGCACTGGGGAAATCTGCTTACAGCAAACCATGTAAACACTTTAATCAAACTATTGCTTTAATCTGATTATTCACAGTAATCAGGTTATATCTGTCATGTTTCCATACGAAGCAATCTCAATATAAACATTTATAGGTGCACCTGTGAAAATGTCAGGATGTCACCCCTGTGTGGGTGAGTCAGAGATAAGGAGGTGAGACTAAACAAAGTTAAGAATTTGTAATTTGTACTTTGTGATGAACTGGATCTCAGGCTCACACAAACACACAGCAGACCAATAGTTTGTTTTGGCCTTGTTTCAGAGCTCTTATGTGAGCGTGGTAATGACCGCTTCACCCCGCTCTCCCAACCTCCCCTCGCTCATTTTTTTTCTTCCTCTCTCCCACTCTGTCGTCTCCTCATTCCCCCTCCCCCTTTCCCCTAGTGCTCGCGCCAAGTCGGCCCTCCATCCCGCCTACACACACACACACACACACACACACACACACACACACACACACACACGCTGCGAGGTAACGGCAGACAGGCGCGTGACTCATTAGGCATTCGTCCCCCAGGGAGATCGCTGGGGGGGCGCGTGCGAGGGAGAGAGAGCGCCGCAGCTGCAGGAATGTCACGGGCGGCTACCGCTGTGTGTGTGCATGTGTGTGTGTTCTTGTGTAAGTGTGTGTGCGTGTGTGCTCACTAATGCTGGCTGGAGCCAGCGGCAGGATACTGCACCTTTCAGGAAATAACGCAAGGAGAAAGGGAAAAAAAAAGCCCACACTTATTAGTGCTGTTTTCCACCAAGAGCTCATTTAAAAGTCTGAAATAAATTTCGAGAGAAAACATTAGATTGCCTTATAATTTCTGCTTGAATTTGTGGGCCACTGTGCTGTAGCTGTGATATTAGCCTGTATTGTTTTTTTTTACCACAAAAACATTTTGTTGCTTTTAAACCAAACCCCTGCTATGGATTTATGAATTCAGCACAGCACCCAAATGAGTTACAGGAATGTATGTGGCTGGTTGCTCACCATACGTTGTCGCTAGATTAATGTTTTTCTTTGAAATATTTAAGCTTTATTACGCATATCTACCTATTATTAAATGACAATGTATGCGGAGGGTGTCTTTTGGCTCTTTTGGAGTACTTCTGACTTCTTGCCATTTCTCGAGATTGTTTTCAATAAATTTAGTGAGCCCACATTAATACAGTGCATCTAGTACTTCAGTAAATCTCAGCCCACCACACTAAATGGTTCCAATGCCATTGAAGTCTTTGGGAGACGTGAAATTTGGTAGGCAGTGAAAATTATGTGGATATTCACTAAAGCTAAAATGATGGTATTGATCATCTACAAACCTCTTAACTCAGTGAATTTATATCAAATCTCGTCCACTTTCCAAATTCAATTCAACTTCATTGTCATTACACTCGTTTACTACAAAATATACTGTAATCTTGTAAACTGTATATTCTCTTGTATACTGTATATTTAGTGGAGCATCTGTATAGATTTCACAAAGCTTACTGTCAATTACCCTGTAGTTTGGAACTTTTAAGTGTTTTTCCAGGAATGTTTAACATGAATGGAAGTGAATGGTGTTTTGTGAGGCTGACTGAGATAAGCAAACACCCTACACCCATAGTTTGTTTAAGACACTCATGGATAATGGGAATGGAGAATTGAGTATTTACACCTCATGCCATCTGAACTATGATATATCATGTAACTATAATGAACACAGTATCAAACTTACAGTAATGTGTCTCAATCATTCAGCGTTTTCAGTTCAAGTTGAATTTCTAGTGTTAGTCTCAGAGCATATTGTATCTATTGAAGAATTCATGTGTTATATGAATATATGAATGTGAGTGAAGAGAGTATTTGACTGTTTATGGGACGTATTTCTGAATGTCTATGTCATGACCCTTTTAATTGTCAGTCTAGATTGTGTAGTAAGTCGGTCAGTGTGTCCCCATGCATGTGCGTCTGTATGTACATGTGTCTTTTGTGTGTGTGTGTGTGTGTGTGTGTGTGTGTGTGTGTGTGTGTGTGTGTGTGTGTATATGTGTGTGTGTAAATGTGAAGCCCAGATATATTTCTTGGCTGCCTGACTGTCAGACAGAAAGCGTGGGAGGCGATATTCATAGAGGTGCTTTTAGTGGGACTTTTATGAGAGACTTTTTTCCATGGCTGAAAGGAGGTTGACCACACACAGTAAGGTTGCCTCAACTCTGCGCACAGGCTTGTGTGTTTGTGTGTGCACGTACGAGCCTGACTGTTCAGGCGCCCTTCCTTTCAGCGCTCCTACGTGGGCTGCCAGGGGTGTGTTTTGCTTCGTGTTTTGTTTCAGAGAGCCCTCCCCCGTGCTGCGGAAGTGTTGCCGGAAGCAGTGGGAGCTCACCCCCAGTTCTGCGTCAGTGCCACTAAAGAAAGGATCGGGGCTTTCCGGGAGGAGGGGGGAAAGGGGGGGGGGGGGGGGGGGCTGTCAGCCTGGGTATGTCACGGCCATGTGGGTGGTTGTCTACATGCTCACACACTCACATACACACACACAGCTAGAGTCACGACTGCTCTTAGACAAACTATTCTTGTATACACTATATTGCTGGCATGCTCCAAGTAAAATCCCCTGCTTTGGAGGGGAATTCTAAGGAACAGGAACAGGTGTGTGTGTGTGAGAGTGTACATGCATATATGTGTGTGAGGCTGACAGGCATATGCACTTGTGTGTTTTCCCTGATGTTGTGAGAAGAGCAATAAAGAAGCGTGAGGTTGAGAATTTGTGTTTAACAGATGTGTGTCTGACAGATATGACTGTGGCTGAATCCATAGAAGAGGGTTGTTCTGCTGTTGTGATGCAATGTTTCCCTCCTATTTCCTACAGCGAGGCCTTGTGTGGAAGTAGCAGAAGTATCAGAAAGTAATCCACTGTCCTCAAATGCTGGAGCTGGAACTTGTAGAAAGCCCTGAAAGGAAAGAAGAAAGGAGGAAAAACCTTTTTTCTGGCAAGGCACGAAAAAAAAGAAAGTAGAGAAATGAGCAGAACTATGTGGCCTGCTCATCCTGGGGGATGTTTTCATCTTTCTGCCCCCCCCCCCCCCACTCTTCTTAACGTCTGCCATTTGAGAGACTCCAGAGGGGCTGCACCTGTTTGCCTCTTGGCTAGGAGCCCCTAAATCCCTCCTCCTGCCCCCGTCTGCCACTCATGCTGCCGTGCCTCCTGGGATGGAAGGAGCGAGGGAAGGGTAGGAAGGAGCGGGGAGGAGTGGTGGAGAGCAGGGTTGCGTGTGGTGGAAGGGATAGCTGGAGGGCTTGAAGGCGTCCGGGAGTAAGAGCAGTGGTGTAGGCATAGACCGAAAGACAAGTTTCAAATCCAAGTCCACTCTCCCACACCGGACAGACCTTACTCCTGTGGAGCTTTCTCTTTCATGTTTTGACTCACCATTTTCTCTTTCATTTCTGTATTTTCTCTCGCCTTTTGTCTTCTCTCTCCTCTGCAAACCCACATCCGCTCTCACTATCTTCTCTGTTAACTTCTCTCCTCAGCCTGTCAATCCCTTGCTCTTCTATCATTTCCTACTGCGGCTCAACCTCCGTTACTTTCCCTCTCTCGCTGCTCCCATCTCCCCCTGTGACAGGACCACGTTAATCTGCAGTGACCTCTTCAGGTCACATTAAAGGTCACCCAGCTTTACTTCCTCACGACCCTAGGGCCACACTCTCCTCTTTATCCCTTCTTTTCTCTGCTTACTCCTGATAGCTTTGGGAAAAAAATAAACACTCAATGCACCAACTTTTTTCCCCATCAGTTTGGTTTTTGATTAGAAAAGTATGGTGTGTTGGAAACAGGGACGCTTTAGTGCTGCAGACATACCCAGTTGACCTAACAGAGAGTATTGGAAGATTTTTTCAGTATTACTTTATAATTTATTCACAAACAGTACACACAACTTGATGATATCTGGCTGGAGGCTGAGTGTCAATCTCAGAGATTATGTTGTTTTGGTTTCAGTTTGGCTCGTGGGTGCCAGCTACACTGACATTTCTATCATGGCTATTAAACCAATTTTTGCTCTAAGCTTGTAAATTATTTCAGCTTTTGATGAGAATGTTTTAAGATAATATTTTGTGTTAAATGATTTGATGCAGTGATTCCCAACCATTTTCTGATGTACTCCCAAGGCTCTGTCAGATCATCTGGCCTCAGTGACACCACATGGCACCTTGCAGATATATATGTGTGTTTGAGTTTAAAATCACATTTGTGTCAATATCATTAATTATAGAAAAATAGAAATATTAGCAAACAATTCCTTTTAATAATCTATTTCAATCCTTTATATATATATTTATATATATATATATATATATATATATATATTTAAATCAAATTTCAATTTCTTCTTTTTGAAAGTAATTGAGCTACTTCACAATCTTCCACATCTCCCTGGCAACTGCAGAAGTACCTCCTTGGGTGTGCGAGTAGCGCTGGCTGGGAATTACTGATTGAATTTATTCTTTAGGAGGTGTTTAATAAGCAAGATGACACAAAATAGCCAGTCAATACTACTCAATAAGAGTCTTGATCCATCTCAACTGTACATTTGAAGTGAGAGCTCAAACTTATAAAAGATTTGTACAAATGGCCAAAATAAGAATAAAAAAACATTGGTTTTTGCAGACAGCACCATCATATTTAGTACTTTAGTGTCTTGGAATAGTGAATCCTGTTGCTAAAATGTCTTCTTTTCTTTGTGCCATGTTGTGCAGAACCGTGGGCGCTTGGCTGAGAAACGCACCATCCCCCTTCCCCCCAACCGGGTACCCAAGAAGGAGCTGGCCTCCATCTTCAGCAGTGACGACAGTGAAGGCAGCGAGCGGGCCAGTGGGGATCATGCCCACATCAAGCAGGAGGACGAGTTGCATTACAGTATCATGAGAAAGAGGTGAGGCTCCTACTTTATGACTTCTATGGCCATGGCTTTAATGTAGTTTGAAGGGCGGCACAGACATGTTTGACGGTTGTGACCCATTTGATTATTATCCCAGACTTTTCTACTCTTTTCTTATTTCTTACATTTTCCTCTTTTCTTTTTCTGTGTGTGGTTAGACACTGACACATATTATTCTAACTGCTTTGGCTTTTAATGTGGCTGAAAATGCATATGTTGTGTTATGAAATCACCATGAGAAATAAATTGAGGTGTCACTTTTTTTTTTATTAAAAAAAAAAAGATCAGTAATAAGTCCGCTGATTTGTTTGCTTCTTTTCAGATCCTGTCTAAAAGCAGACAGATGCAACTTTTATTATTTCATCTAGTGATTTTAGGATAATTTTGAGGTGTTAAAGGCTCATTTTGAGACGAACAGACAAAGAGCCGCGTTTCAAAAATATACTTAGTATACTTGCTTTTGCTTTGGGATGTCTAATGGAGGGATGTGTGCTGAGCTTTGAAAGTGTTAATTGGCTTGTTGGTTTGCGTTTTGTTGCTGCTGCCAAGTCTCAGTGCATCTGTCTTGACTTGATTTTGAAAGACAAGTCACCTGAGTCACCGCTGTCTGCTTCATCCCACCCTGAGCTGTGCTTGAGAGCGGTTTGATCATAGAGTCTTTATTATAAAAAGAGTATAAGTTCTTATGTCTGAAATGGTTATAAAATAACTAGCTTTAGAATCTATTTTCATCTTGATATGTCCAGCTGTTCTTGCTACTCAAGTAACGGTGTAAGCAAATATTAGAGCTGAGAGTTTGAAATAAGTGAGAACACAAACATACTCAGAGAGACAGAGTAAGATTAATAATGAGAAGTAGCACTGCTCCTCAAAAACACAGCAGCAACAGTAAAAACTCACAGTTTCACTGTACACTCCAACATGTATCTGGAAACAGTCTCTGGTTCCTCGTCCTTCACACGTGTTATTTTCATCAAATCAGGAGGAAAGCAGAATACCTGACAGGAATCTTGTTCTGTTCTGTGTTGTCATTGCTATTTTTGAGAACAAGACTGCATCAAAAGTAGAATTTAATTAGCCATACTGGCCCTATTATTTTTTTCAGAAATGTCAGTGTTTTTTTGTTTTATCAAACAAGTCGCATTTTAGTGTGAATCAGTAAATGGCTGTTTGACAAATTGTCAAAACTGAAATTCTCCACAATAATGGATGGCTCAGAAGTTGTGCATACATTAGATTGGGTTTTTGGAAAAAAAAAAAAAAAAAAAAGTACTAAAAGCCTGTTTGGATTCAAGTGGATAACCTTGTTCATCTTTATACATGCAAACACACACATGCAAGGTTACAGTGAGGTCACCTCATTAAGATGAATCAAAAGGAGCGCTGCCTCACAATGATGGCATACACTCTGCTTTGTTAGGAGCTTGAACTGAATAAAACATAGGGTTGTATATTTAATAATTGCTCTCTGTACAATAAGTGCTTTGATCCATGCGAAATTAAGAGAAAGTTTTAATCAGGAATAAACATCACATGGATTTGTGATTAGTTGGAATGTACATAAACAGATTTGTTTGATTCAGAAATCAGACAGGCTATGGACAGATATAATGTAGAAGATGTTCATTGATTAACCCCAGAAAGTCCCCAGCTGCATTATAAGCAGCTTGTGCAACCTCATTACAGAAGGGGATGTTTTTCATGTCTTGAGACTTGCGTGTGACACGGCGGACAGCACAGCAACTTGTGAAGCTTAAAATGGATCCACTAACCTCATTTGAGAGGGCTTCCCCTCCCCCTGACACTTGTGCCGCTGGCGTGTTAAGATGATAATGAATTTAAAGAACACTTATGACTAATATGTCAGGCTTTTACCCTTTGAAAGGCGGCGGACTCGCTGGAGCCGCAGCTCCGGTCTGTCGTGGGCATCCATCTCAGCCTTGCTTTATCCCCCAATGCGGGTCTGGACGAACGGGATAATGGGATGTCCAATCACGGAAATCTTATTTTCATTGACCGCAGCTTCGTAAGTGAGTCGTAGAAGGGTCTTAACAAATTGGATTTGGCCAATGGATGTGAAAAATACAGGGCCTTTGTATACATGTGTGAGTGTATCTGTGCTGTCTCATCCACACATCATCAAGGCTGGCGGCAGCACCGCGTCACACCCACTTGGTTGCTGCAACCTGCCCACTGTAACTGCACTTTAATCTGCATGGGCACATCTGAGCAGCATTTGTGAATTATTTATCCAAATTTTTTTTTTTTTTTTATCCTTACGAAATTCCTTATGCAGGAAAATTTTGGTGGCATTACATTAGAGGATATTTTAGAGTCTCTGCCTCATTCCAGTTTTTCAGGGAATAGTTCAATATATATAATGTCACTTTGTGTAACATTAAAGAGGAGATTGTTTGCTTGGTTCAGGGGGCCAACTGTTGTGTGTTAAGGGGATTTGTCTGTCGTCAACAGGTGTTGTCTTCATAGCTCAGCGTTCTCGTCAGGACGTCTTCTCAGGTTCATTATAAGCTGGTCCATCTTGTTTTAACCAGATTAATGTTAATAGTTGCCGGCTTTACACACAGTTGTTTAATTGGTGCTCCATAGAGCCGCACTTATCCTGCTGAAGAAGCACAGAGCATCTCGGGACTGAATAGCAGCCAAGCCACAGAGCCAACCAAGTAATCATTATCACAGTAAGGTGTATACGGAAGCTCCTTGGGGTATCGAAGCCAGTGTGAAACACACAAGAACTGAAAGGTGGAAACAAAATCTTGTTTTGGTATCAGTACTGCAGATTGTTTGTATGTGACTTGGATTCGTTAACACTGATATATGGATTTCATCTCAGGCACTAAATATTTGATAGCAGTAACTTGTGATTTTAGTGTCTTACTCAAGGGCAAAACAAAGCCTACCTTAGTGTTTGTTTCAGTTGGCCGTAGATAACAAGGCTTTGATTGAAAATTGCTGACTGAGAGTCTGGGTAATTACCCGACAACCACTGTGGATTTTATAAGTTACACCCGCTGACGTCTACCTTTCAGCCTCTGCCCTGTAGAGAAAAAAAACCCCTCCATACCCATTATTAACCTTCACCAAGACAAACAAAGGCAGTTTCTCAGGTTTTCAATCATGCATGAGGCCATTTTCTACTTGATATACAAATGCTTTCATCTACAAAAGGGGAAAAATATTTAAGGTCTACAGACCTTTTTACCATAGACTGCCAAAAGTATAAAACATACCAGGCTGTTCAGTTTTTGTTGAGCATAGTCTAACTGTCAGAGGCCATCACTGGGACTCTTTATAAGGACCATCTCGTCCTGTGCTCATCCACTCAGCAGGGAGACCGGCTGATTGAAACAAGCAACATACTGAACTCAATATAACATCTTATTGGTTTTGGCTAGAGATTTTTGTCTTCACCAACAAGGTTATACTTTAGGTTACTGTGAATGTAATTTTGACAGACCTCGTCATAGTCTTTAACCATCGTCTGCTTAATGTCGTTTTTTTTATTCCGGTGAAACTTTGACGCAGCGCGAGCTTTGGTGCGCACTGAGAGAAACCGCGCTAGTGTTTGTTTGAGGTTCATGCTGCCAATGGGACGTTTGGTGAAATCAGACACAAACAGAAGATGCTCACATTCCCAAACATTTCCAAGAATCTAATAGTTATTTCATACTCTCACAGTTTTTTTTTTCCCAGTTTCCCTTTACAGTCTGTCCCTCTGTATGACAACAGATCTTTTCCTGGAGTAGCACGGGCTCAGATTTGTCAACGGGGATGCTGTACTCAATCTGTGCAATAACCACAGAAAGAGGAAGACATTGATGCTGAGTTAGCTACTGTATGTCTATTGCATTTGACATTTTGTCCTCTGGCTTTATTGAACAACTGTGTCATTGCCTTATGCCAGTCAGGGGTCACGGACAGTGTGAAATTACTGGAAATGGCTCTCCCCTGAAGCACTAATTAGTGAGCTTGGAGGTTTTATAGCTTTCTAGAGGAGCTTTCCGCTTCAAGAATTTTTGGCCTTGTTTACACCCGTTTACCATGGCAACAGAGTCACAGCAATTTAGTTGTTGATTGGGCGTTGGCTATCAGCAAGAGGTTCATTGTTTCCACATAGAGCAGTGTTGTGTCTATTAAGTCCCTGTCAAAGCACAGGATTAACAAAAAGATGGCCGGTAGTGTTCCAGCAGTGTAGTCTCAGATTTGGCGTTGGCTTGAAGCATGAGGTTCATCATTTCCGCATGTAAAGAACACAATGTTTACTATTCATCATTTGCTGCCATTCAGTATGTTGAAATCAGCTGAAGATAATAAGAGCTTTGGCCTCTCCTACAGTATCTACAGTCCAGTGGTGTGCTCTTTGAAAGCTCAGAGGGATTACATCACATACTGTGAATATAACAGATGTCTTCCTTTTTCATTCCAAACTTTCCTTAAATCTGTTGAAGAATTTCTTTCTGAGTTTGAAAAACGTGAATGATAATAGCTCATAAAATGTGAGCCAGAGGACAAATTAACATGAAGACCAGCAGCGTGTGCATGGATCAGTACGGGATGCAACATGGCGGACTTATCGTATATTCTATTTCCATTATACTTTTCTTTCCTTCCTTGGCTGCCTTATCGACCTCATGTCAGCCTGTACAGCAGAGGAACAACAGGGAGAAGTGAAGCCCAAGTGAAGCTGGGCTACTCTTACTTATTTATGTATCTATTTCTGTATTTATTCATTACCATCTCTGCTTGCAGAGTTCCCAGTTGCGAGTTGGCTTTCGATCCAACTGTGAGCAGCATGACAATTGTGTTTCCGCTGCTCACAGGAATCAGACAAAACATAAAATGTATATGGAAAAGATCCATATTCCTGCTTTAAACTTTATGCCTCCTAAAGTATAGGTATTTCCTAAATAAAAGACTTGCATTTTATTTCTTTTTTTCTGCGGGGCATCGTAGAAACTTTACTCATTCCTGCTTTTTCTCAGTATTTTGCCCAAGTCCACATCTTATTACGCTGTGGTTGCTGAATATTACATATTGCCCGGTAGTATTTGAATGTTGCTGTGGGCCACCTGTGCAGGTTGGATTGGGCTGTGTGTTGGGGCTGTTGTCTTGAGAGCAGATGAGGGTACACAGTAAACCTGAGAGCACCAGATGTTACACAGTGACCTGTCTCTCCTCTCTCTCTCTCTCTCTCTCTCTCTCTCTCTCTCTCTCTCCTCCTCCTTCTCCACTCCTCCACCTTCACATCCCTGCTGTCTGTCTGTCAGCACTTTCCCAGTGGTGGTGTGAGACATGGCGTCAGGGTGCCTGGGCTGCCAGCTTCTGCCAGCTCACACTGTGACCTCCAGCCCCGCCACCTCAGCTCCACGTGCCAATGCCGCAGCAGGCCACTGCTGGGCATTTATACTGAGTTGACTCCCTGTGCCAGGAGAAGAGTCTTTCCACATTGTTTGGACCATTTTGAATAGTAACGCCCACTCTAATGGCTGAGGAGGGCACAAGCTTCCCAAACAAAAGAAAAAGCCTCAGGCAAATGATTTGGCAGATGAAGTTAATCAGCTCATGTAGGAATAGTGGACATTTTCTGGTGTTTTTTATTAAATTTGTATTGACGTATGATTTATCAATAAATAAGCATTCCAATTACTGTGAGAATAAAAAACATCAGCATATTGTTATATTGAGTAGCTGGAACTGTGATAGTTACTGTATATTGTTAGTTTACTTAAAATGCATAGACAGGAATCATTGAAAGAAAACAGCAGTAGAAATTAGGGCTACTTGTCAGAACATTTCAAAGGTATTCGAACTTGGCATCGAATGCTTCTTTTCTTATTTTTGAATCAGATATTTCCTGACCAAAATCAGGAAAACCTTTTTCCTTTACTCAATATATTCACTTTAGGCAAGCGTCTCTATTTACAACAGATGTGTTTTTAAATGAAGAAATCCCCAAACTAAGCTCATGAAAAAAGTATTGTTTTGGTATCAGTACCTGAACTGATACCTGGAGGTATTGTATTGGCACCAATTTCAAAAATTATCAAATGATTAACAGACAAAATAGAAATTTAATTACTTGTACAGAGTTTGTGATATAATTTCAGTGATGGACACCAGTAGTATCCATGAGTGTTAACACACATTACTTATCCCAGTGTCTGGGTCAGTGTGTCTGTCCTGTGGCTGGGGATGAAGGGGCAGTATTGACCAGTTTAGGGATGAGCTGAGGATGAGATGATTGTCTCTGGCGTGCACCTGGGTGATAAGAAAGCAGCTCATGTCCTTCTTAGCTATCAGACCCAGCAGCCACAATATAACCCCCCACCATTCTCTCTGAGGCCCTCGTCCTCCCCAGCTAACGCTGGCCTTAGGAGCTCCTTTGGGAGCGCTGACTCAGGTGACTGGGTTTTAAACACCATCCCCACCCCCCTCTCCATCTTCCAGGGCTTGAGTATGACCTTGCCTCCACCCACAGAAAGAGAGGAGGGGAGGGGGATGAGGGAGGGCAGAGGTGGGTGGGGATAGGACTAGGCCCTCATTAGCCCAAGCCGAGGCGGGACAGCTCAGGAAAAGTGCGCTAATTACCCCACTAACAATGTCCTTGCCATTCATGGCTTAGAGCAGCCACTTTGCCACAGGATAATAACCCCATCACCTCTCTGAGGAGTTCAGGATAGCATTATCATGATCACTTTAAATGATGGACAGAGGGTAGTGTTAGAACGCTGCTACCTGATTGATGGATTTGGCTGCAGTTTCTCACAGTGGACCGTGTAACTGCAGCGTGTGTGATGTGTGTTTTGTTGGAGTCACTGGGTGACGCAGATGCTTTATTATATGACTCCAAGCACAATTAAAAAACCTTCCCTGCATCTCATTTTCTTTTTGAAGGAAACCATTGGGCTCTCAGACACAGATAGCTACTAATTTTAGCAAGATACACTCTAAAAAAGAAGTCTATCATTAGTCTAAAGAATTTGCAGTCGCAGTCCAATCAAGCGTCTCCTTGCTTAGCAACCAGTGAGGACTGTTTTGTCTGAGACCATTTTCTGAGTCATTGGTTCTCCGTGACTGAAAAGGTGACTGGTGAAGCCAGCATGGCCAGCATTAGGCCTTCTCCGCTCCCCTTCATTTTTTCTGTTAGCGTGTGGAAAACAGCTTGGCGACCGACAGCCTGACATTACAGCAGGAGCCTGTAATCATGGGACTGTAAAAACCCAAATCCAGCAGCCGCAAACAGTGTGGCCTCGTCATAGTGGTGGCAGCTAAGAACCATTCACCGCTTTTGTCCCATAAACTGTGCTTGCCGTGTCATACCAGACCCCCTTCATAGATGATTCTGCTTTCAATAAAGTTGCCAGTTAAGCCTATAAAGCAGATTTCTGCTGACACTAGAGGAAGGTGCTACCATCAGACTGACATGTCTCAATGCTGCATGTATTTAGGCTTATTTTGTGGACAAAGTGACAGTTTCCTGTTCTCTTGGGCTTTGGAGTGCTCTTCCATGTTCCATGTATGTCACAGTCATTTAACAGTAAATGATATGTAGACTGTAAACTAAAAAAATATTCAGTCCTCTACCTCTCCTACCACACAAGCTGTTTACCATTACGCTGTGACTACACTTGTACTGCACGGCTGCTGTACTCCCCTCAAACGCTAAGCGCCTATTTCCCATCATTATGCCATTTAATGCGATCAGGATGGTAATCAGATTGCAAATGAAATACCTCCATGACACAGTTGTGTGGGTGCAGTGGTGCGGGGTGGTTAGAAAGGCGGCTGGTGGAGCATTTGGAAGGGCAGAGTGGCTCCAACCAGATCTAGGCATAATCTGTAAACCCTCCTCCTGCTCCTCCTTTGGGTGCTGAAGGGCAGGACAGGGTGTTTGAGAGACTCTTGTGAACGGTTGTGTTGTGAAGGACCTCGTGTTGAAGTGTAGGCATGACAACAGAAAAGAAGACCATTGTTTTCAATAACACAGATTCAGTGTATTGTCTTATTAATATTACATTCCTAAGAAGTAAGACCAGTTCAAGTCTTGATTGATATTTTATTTGATCTTTAATATTCCTCACATGTCTTTTCACATTATTCAATTGCCATATTTCTCTAAAACAGCTGTTGGCGGCCGCAGTTTAAAAAGAGCCATAATCAGGTTTTAAGCTGCTAAACTACTTATGAGTTGTGAATATGTTCGTTAATACATCTTAGTGTGGAAGATGAGTAGGGATGAGGTCCAAAAGTGCTGGATGCGGTAGTCTGTCAGAGTGTATTACACACCTCAGCGCTAAGAGCCACTTTACAGGACAGACACTTGTAGCTGGTGAGTCTATGTGGAGGTATGCATATCAGAGAGGACAGGTCTGTCTGGATGGAGGATTTCTGTGGTAAGTAGTGTGTGAAATAGTGTGAATGTATGCACTGCTGCTTTATCACATGCTGGTTTCGATGGCATTGTGGAATTAAGTTTGTTCGGGGTGCTTTTAAATGCGTTTATCATCTCTTTCCTGTCTCTCTCTCTCTCTGTTTGTGTGTGTGTGTGTGTGTGTGTGTGTGTGTGTGTTAGTCGTGACAGTGACCTCTCTACAATCATCTCCAATCTGCACCACACCAGACAGCACGGCATGCCCGAGGGCGAGTCAGCCTCTGATCACAACACCAGTACTGGACACACAGGTAGGACCCCCAGTGATGGTGTGTTTGTGTGTGTATGTGTGTGTGTGTGTGTGTGTGTTTAAAGGATTGTCAGTATGTGTATGTAATACAGGAAGTGTAGGATGTGTTCTTTCTCTCTCTCTCTCCCTTTTCACCAAGACTGATGATATATCTTCCTATTCATCTCTTGTAACATATGTAAACGTTTCATTACCCATTTAATTTACTCTAATTTGTGTGATTGGAGGAATTTAACATAAGCTTATTACTCATTCCTGAAGGTCGCTCTCAAGTTGATTACTTAATGTTCTTCCCACATTCCCTGCCGCACTCCAGGATTTTTGTTAAACCCCCTGTTTTAAATTACCTCTGAATAAATAGCTTTGTTTGCCATTAATCCATTTTTATGTGAGCAGAGGAACCGTGGTGTGCGTATGCTAAGCTAAGAGCTTTTGTTACAGCTTACAGACAGAACATAGACAGCATTTAATCCCATCTATTTGTCAAGTAGCTTGTATGAGGACATTGTGCAGCCATCAAAGACATATGGTTGTAAATCAGCCTCTGTTGATATCACTATTCAGCGATCAACCTACTGTACTGGATGCTTCTGCCACATGGGGTTAGTTGTAACTGTTTACCTATTCACACGTGTGTGTATGTGTGTACAAGGTATGATGGATGGCAACAGTTCTACACTAGTTTCCCAGCAACCCAAACAAACCTTTCACATTATCATACATTATTAATGATGCTGACTTTTGCCACCAAGAAAAATGTATATCTAAAACACTAATTGTGACAATGAGTCAACTGTATTGACAACATCCATCATCAAATCTTAATCCACACTTTTAAACATTTACATTTACCCCTAATTAAAGAATGAGTTGCCTTTTTATCAGTGAAGACCAAACCTTTGCTCCAGTGTTGCCCGGGGTTCGACCCTGTCCCCTCTTATCCCATTAGCCAGAGGCACAGCAAGAGGCATAATCAGCCCAGACCCAACACCTCCATACCCTCTCTCTGTGTGCTCATCTCCTCTGTCTGCCAGATTAATTGTCCATACGGTGCCTGTGATATCAGGCAGGGTGGGTGGAAGGTGAAGGGTATTAGACTGCTCAACAGCCACCCCAGCCAGTGTCTTAGACCCCGGTTTGGGACGGATTTCCACCCAAATACCGGCCTAATCAGCTGCTAAACTTAATGGAGAAATCAGAGCCCTGAGTAGTTGTCTTAATGGAGAAAGACAAGAGGGAATAGAGGTGGATTGGGGGGGGTGGGGGGGGGGGGGGGGGGGGGGGTGGCGATGGAGGAGGGAGTGAGCACAGTGTGGCCTACGCCAGAGGGGGTCTAGGACCCTAAAATCTGTCCGTTTGAGCATTAAAGGGAGATTTAACAGGCTGCCTAAGCGGCTCGCTCCGTGTCTGTAAACAAGTCCAATCCGATCAGCCACTGGCTCTCATTTTGTCTGCCAGTGAAATTAGACGCACACACATTCACAAACACACAATTACACACAAGTAGCACATAGTTATACAGATGCGTGCCCACGCCAAGTCAGCACAGGTTCATATTTGCATCCAAATACATAGGTGGGTGTAATGTGTATGAAGTTTTAGAGCATTGGATTATTTGACTTGGAGATGAATGAGATGGTAAACGCAGCTAGCTGTCTATGATATTGTCCTCCTCTGTTCTGCCAGTCAACCCTCATATTTGACTTAGCCTCTAAAAGTGTTTAAGGTTCTACCAATGAACTGTGGAGGGAGAGAATCTGAGAGACAGGAGAGAAATTAAAGAGCACACAAAGAAAAGAGAAACAAAATCTGCAACAGAGAGAGACAGACACAGTGATGGAAGAAACATTTGGAGAGAGGGAGACAGAGGAAAGAGAGATGAATGAGTGCGGTGGTGGTATCGGGGGAGGGCAGGCGGCAGCTATGGCGGCGGACGGCTCCGTATGTTCGTGTGTGTGTGGGTCAGGAGGAAAGGGAAGCAGGCTTGCCGGGTCGTCTCTGCACCGGAGTGGGCCGTTAATTAAATCTGAGGGATAGACAGGAGGGCTGCCTCCCTCCTTCTCCTCTCCATTCCATCCCTCCCTTCCTCCCTCATTCGCTCTCTCACTCTCCAGCCGCTGGCTATTCAGAGACTCTGTGAGAGGTGGAGGGGAGGGAAGAGGGAAGGAGGGAGGGAGGGGGAGAGCAGGGGCGCCGACGCTGAGAGTCTGGCTGCCTGTGGAGACTGTAAACCGTGGCTCTGCGGTCAGACCGGAGACTCAAACAGGCAGATAAGGTGTTTTTGGACCGCCACTCTCTCTCTCCTCTGCTCCCTGCTCTCAGACTCCCAGAGGCAGTTACAGCCTGTCGGTGTGTGTGTGGTTGAGGGTTGTAGCAGTGGTTTGGGGCTTTAGCACATTTGTGTGTGTGTGTGTGTGTGTGTGTGTGTGCGTGTGTGCGTGTGCGTGCACGCGCGCGCGTGCACCTTTCCGTGTGTCGTTTTAAATGCCTGGTTTTAGATGTTTGCTTGCGTGTGAATCTGCAGCCTTGCGTGTTTGTGCAAGACCTTTTTTTTTTCAGTCTGACTGTGAGTGAGGATGGCTTTTAAAGTATTACCAGACAGATATTACATGATTAGCATAGAAAGGCAATTCTAAACAAAAGTAAACACTCAAGGATTTCTGATGATATTAACTCTGTCATCCATAAGTATAAAGGGAAATGTGGATTGTAAATATTTTAAAACATCCCACTGCTTAATAGGGATGTAATTGTACTGCAATAACAAAATGGCCTCTCAGGGTTATAATGCATAAAGACATACAGTATATTTATATAATGCTTCTGTCAAGAAACCAAATTCATAGATGGCAAACAATAAATAATTGAGTAAATAGAAAATAAAGCTTTAACTTAAAGATACATTTTTTTCCTGCGTTATAGGTCGAAACAGAAATCTCAATCCAAGTTCTGTTTTTTTGTGTTTCTCACATCTGTGCCTCTTCAGTGTTAAACAGTCATTGGTTGTTTTTTGTTTGTTTGGTTTTGGTTTGGTTTGTTTGTTTGTTTTTTATTCCACAAAGGTCATAATCGAGAAGGGTTTTGCTGGTCTTTTGATGTTTTTTTTTTCTGGTTAAACTACTTTTTCTGTTTATTCCTAGTGTTCAGAGTGATACATTACTAAGTAACGCTTCAGCAGAATCAGATTTCTCTCTCATTAAAGTAACAAACACTGAACTGTTACATTTTCAGTGCTGATTTAGTGAACTGGTGAAAATGTGTTACAGTATACATGTTATACTATGGATACATAGAATTTCAACAGAATTATTTGATGATGCTTTTGAAACATTAATAGCCTTTGATATCCTGTGACATGAGCATCGTTTTGTATATGTATTTTAGCAGAGGTGTTACACGGGAGGCGACAAACCACTTGAAGAATCCTGAATAGAAAAGTCTGTAATGCTAAAGACGGCAGTTGCATGACACATCCCGCCCCTCTCCCCAGTGCACCAATCGTCTGCTTTATAACAGCGGAACGGTAAAACATGTCAAGCCAACCGTGTTGTTGCACCGAAACCTTACACATTAATAGTAGACCTACAACCTGTGGGGAATGAACGTCTCTTATATTAGTCTGTTTTATCCTCGGAACTCGATCTCTCATTTGCCATTAAATTGGGAACATTTTAAACCTTATTTTAGAGGCAAAGTCACCAAACTTTTGAGGCAGTTTTATCGGGTGATTCTGTACGTGCATTTTTTTAAGTCCCTGTGATTAAAAGTGCAATTATGGCTCTCTCCCCATTCATTCAGATAGGAGCCTCGTATGTTTGCCCGAAATAACTGCCCGGGGGCATTGCCAAGATGGCTGTTGAGTGGCGAGACTTGCCTATAAGGACTTTGATATTCTGGCAGGAACAGTTGCCTAGCAACAGCCACTGTAAGCGGAAGAAGACAGATGAAGGCTGGGATGAGGGACACATAAAGATGTGACAAATAAAGTTTTACATTTAAGAATGACAGATGACACCAGGTGATTAGAGAAGAGGATATAGCTTTATTATTTTGAAATTCCTTAAAAGAAAGATTTCATCGTTCAAGTTATGTTCAGGAAACACCTGTTTGATAATGCAGGAGAAGGTTTATGTCCATCATTGTTTCCATTTTGATGGACTTTTAGAAAAACTCAAAAGCAAAATTTGTTGTATTACCTTTTATCAGAGAATAAATGAATCCCTTTATAATGAACACATGTAATTATTAGTGATTTACAACTTCTGGTAAGTAACTATCATCATGTCACAGCCCGGGACTTATTCTAAACAAAGCACTGTTCCTACTGACGGAAACGTCCCTTCTTGTGTATCACCACCTTTTTATTGTGTTACATAACTATATCGCATTGCAAAAAGGACATTTATATAAAGTTTTTCACTTTAAGGTCAGCCATATTTTTTTATTTTCAGTTGACTACCCATTCTCTTCTTCATATTCTCCTTCTCTCTCCGCCTCTCTTAATTTCTCACTTCCTGTTGAAAACACATAGAACATGAAAAACAGACGGGTATTGTATGGAGCAGTGTTATTGTGTGTGTACATTTGCACGTTGGCAGTGGTACATCCTCCCCTCAGCGTGAGCAGAAGCGCCTCTCTCCCCATCTCCATCACCCACCCCCCGTCCTTCCATCCCTCTCCCAGCTGCATCGGCCCGTAAGCCAATCAATGGCAGGGCTTTCAGGGCCGGCGGAGGCCCCGGCGCACGGAGGGGTGATCAATAAGTTATTAGCACCATTCTGTCAGCTGTAATGTGGAGATTGATCGGGGGGCTGCGGCTCGCGGCTCACCCCACGTCCCTGCCTGTCACTCCCCCCCTTCTTCGCATAGCGCCCCCCCCCCCTCCCCAGCCTGATAAAGATGACAGATTAACGGAGTAAGAGAGGAATTAAGGAGTCTGGCTGTCTGAGCTGTCACCACGCTCCATGGGATGGAGAGAGAAGAGGAGGAGGACTAAAGTTTGAGGGAGGGAGAGGAAATCAGAAAGTAAGAGAGAAAGAGGAATGCTCCCCTGCCTGATGGTTCACCCTGGTGGTGTCACATGAAAGAGAAGAGGTTTAGGTCCTGCTGTTTCCTCTATCTCTATCTGTCCCTCCGTTCTCATCCCTCTTTTCTCTCAGTGGGAGGAACAGCGGATAAGAAGGAGGTTAACTAGCAAGGAGGAACTGAGGCAGAGCCAGGAATATAGTGTGTTTAGGCCAACTGCTTAAAGAAAAAGAAAAAAGTTAGCCTAGACTGTCTGTTTACCATGGACGGCTAAAACAGAGGGTATATCATAGCAGCTAATGCTACTGCAGCTTAATTACTGCATTTTGACAGTTAAAATCACAGCCTTGAAGCTAAAATAAAACTCCTGACTCCATAACCACTAATTCCTCAGCAATATTAACAAGCAGGAGATATGGAAAGGCCCAGGGTAGCAAACTGTAAGCGGTGTTAGTGGGAGTAAAAGGGTTAGCATAGACGCTAGCAGAGCTCAGGGTTCGGCATTAAAAGGGAGCGCCGGTGCTCTAAGAAGCCCCATTTAATTGGCTTTAAAAGCTTTCCGCCCTCAAATCTCTGGCCCTCGGGCACTTGCTCAGGAGACAGAGTGTCTTGAGTGAGCTTGGCTCAAGAGACGACTCAAGTGTGTGTGTGTTTGATCATGAGAGGCTCTGGGTGTGGGTGTAAGCATGTGTGTATGTGTGTGTGTCTTTGGTAGAGGAAGGGGTTTAACTGATGGGGGTTCTCTCTCTCTCTCTCTCTCTCTCTCTCTCTCTTTATTAATATTCCACTAATAGGATAGATGGAAAGCTTTTGTGTTTTTTTTTTTTTTTGTTTGCTGTTTTTTCTTTTGACCAGTGAAAGAAACGTACTGAATGTGATTTGAAAATGAGAAGAAAAACAGAATAAGAGATCATAAAGGAGACGACAGAAAAAGAAGAAATTGTGAAAGACATTCAGTGTGAGCGTGTGTGTGTGTATGTGTGTCCATTAGCGCTCCCCCCTGCCCCCACTGTCTCTTTAGGGTGGTATAGGGAGTGGATTTCCTCAGGACCTGAGAGGCAACATCAAACACTGGATCATTAGTGAACCTCCTCCCTCTCCCTCTCTCTCCCTTTCTCATTTGCTCGCTCACCCTCTCATCAACACCGGGGCTCCTTCAGCAGCCCAACAAAATCCTCTGAGTCCTGTCTAAATCTCTTTCTGTCTCTTTCCCCTCCCTGTCTGTGTCTTGTTATAGAGAAGAAAGAACATAAGTTTGGGTGATAGGTTAAGGGTTAAAGGTCAGACCTCACTCCAGCTTCACTCCTCTGTTGATGACTGTCCTCCTTTTGCTACGATGACAACAATATCAGGAGAAGACACATGACAGAAATCGTCAAATGTTGTTTGCTTGGGTATTGCTGTTCATTGTTTCTCCGTGCTATTTACACATGCTGTGCAAATGATGAAAAATTGCTTTGTTGAAAAAGAGAGACACACAGAGAGGAACCATTCTCCTTGAGGGAGGAAAATAAAACACCCCCCCATCCCTAAAAATATGCACAGGGAAGTGAGAGAGAGAGAGAGTGAGAAAAAAGAGAAAGAGGGGAAGCAGTTGCTGCTGTGGCTTGGCTGTCTGTGTGGAAGAAGAAACAGAGTTAGAGAAAAAGCAGAGGTGCATGAGATAGAAATAGAGAAAGAAAGAAAGAGAAAGAAAGAGACAGACAGATAGAGAGGGAGAGAGAGAGGGCAATGACAAACGGCTTTTTCCTTCCTGCTGGCGCTGCGTGCGATGTGCTCTGGATCCCCTCCCTCTCTGATTAGGCCCGTATTGATTTGAGGTGTGTTTGAGGGGGGTGGACGTGAGGCGATGGGGCGGGAAGGAAGAGCAGGATGAGAGGGGAGGAGAGGAGGAGGAGGAAGCGACAGTAGGGGGTGCTGTAATTGTACACTAGATGCTCCTCTTTGGTGGCAGGGGAGGAGGAGGTGGGGGAGAACAGGGAGGAAAAGGGGATGGAGGAGGAGGTAGGGAGGGCGTAAACGGAGAGAGAGAGAGAGAGCTCCTGATGGGAGGAGGTTTCAAGTGCACCTAGAGGAGAGGAGAGAGAGAAGGAAGCAGAAGAGTAGCTCAGAAGTGTGTTTATGAGTGGGATGACAGCAACAAGGTGGGTGGCGCGAGGGAGGGGGGGGGGGGGTGACTGATGTGAAGGTACAAAGACTAGAAATAAACACATATTATAGACATAATATAGGCTGAGAGACTCGTGAACTTAAGTTCAGTCTGAGGCTTTTGTGCCAACATCTGGAAAAAGAGAGAGAGGAAGAACAGTGATAACACTTGAGGACAGACTGTTGGAAAGAGACACTGGAGGAGACACAGAGAGACACAGCCCTCCTCCCTCCCTCAAGTAGACCAACACACACGTGAATGAGTCGGGCAGATCTGTCATCCACAGCAGTGGAGGCCCCCAAACAAGCACATCTCCAGACGCCCATGGTTTGCTTCACTCGCTCTGTTTCTCTCTCTCTCCAACTATCACTTTTTTTCCCCCCTCTTTGGCTCCTTTTCACCCTCCCTCTTCTAACTCTGCATTTCCAAAGCAGCCACCATGTATACAGGTAGACGCAGAGCAGAGCTGCAATATCAAGCCTTTACTTTGGTCTTTTTGCTGACTGCTCTGTCTCTCTTTGTGTGTGCGTGTGTGTTTACAGATGCCCTTCTAGGCAAGAGGAGAAGCTTCTCTCCCAACAGCAGCAGCGAGTGTCCCTCTGACAGCAAGAAGTCACGTAGCGTATCCCCCAAAGGTAAGACCGTGTGGTGTACTCGTGCGCTGTGACGTTACAGATGTGCTTGGACATGTATTCTCAGAGAGGAAATGTGTGAAAACTGTAGGACAGAAGACAGTATGACTGAGTGTTAAAGTGGAAGAGAAATGGTGGAAGCTGCAGAGTGAAGAAGAGGGAGAAATGAGGTAGTATTGATTTAGCTGCTGGTGGTCAGTGTGTTAGGGTTAGTGTGACGATGGGAATATCTTTCTCACGCACTCGTTGACACACTTCCTCTGTTAACCCTCTCCCTTGTCTTATACAGTCTCAGTTGCAGACACACACACACACACACACACACACACACACACACACACACGTGTACAAACACACACACACACACAAACACTTAGCCAGTAGATCAAAACACCCATATTACCAGAACACAGTATTTGCTCTCTGACCACTAGTGGTATGGAAACATGAAGACAGGTTTAGTTTTAAGTGCCGAGTTTTGTCTCTGAGATTCTGCTGCTACCCCAATAAGATGGATGTTTTTTAGCACCGCAGAAGAAGAAATTGTGGTGCTCAAAATATTGAGAAAATGACATTTGAAAACTTTACAGCTACTTCTCTTTCCATGAACAGTAAGTAAGGTCGTTCTACAGACCTCCCTTTGGAGCTATTTTCTCCCTCAGATGAAAATGGTGATTTGAGTGATCTCGCCCTTTAACAGGAAAACAGAGCATGGGTGGCTGGCATGTCTGCTTTCCTCCAAATACAGTAAATACAGTAATATGATATCTAAATAAAGTAATATGTTACATAGTATGCCATTCAGGTATAATATTATCAGTCTTGCAGCAGATTCCTAGCATACACACTTCACTGTTAACTTTTAATTAGCTCTATATGACAGACCTTGACAAGGCACACCTTGGCAAGACGATGCCCCTCTGTAGCGTTGGAATCCAGTCGCCATCCTCTATTATTCATATCTCCCTCATGTGGTGTGAAACCGGGCCCCTGACGTGGAGCCGGCACGGCCACCGGGCCTGTCCCTCTGGGCTCCTGAGGTAGACTTCCTGACTGATGCATTATACAGGAGGCAAAGCCAAGGGCAGCTCACCGCACATCCAGCCTCATCTCTGCAGACACACGAACAACATGTACACACATACACACTCCAAGACAACGTGTAAGCCAAACAACATCAGCAGCACACACACACACACACAAACACACGTGACACAAATAACTCTGATTATTTAAGATATTACTATAATGTGACTCCATGATGGTTTGTGGGGTGTATTTGCATAAGTGCATTTGGAGGTCAGATTGAGTTGTGTCGAGCTCAGCATGAACCCTGCGTTGACCTTTGCCCTCTGGTTGACCTTTGACTGAGAGATGCCCTGCCTGCTGCCTCCTCCTCTTTCACCGTGCAGGGAAGCACTCATTCCTGGCCATTATAGTCTTACTTAGACACAACCAAACTCCTGAAAGATGCATGGATTTTTGTGGATGTGTTTTTGTGTCACAGTGTGTGTGTGTGTGTGTGTTTATCTGTGTGCATGTCTGTTTGTGTATTCTGGCTTGGCTTCCTTTTAAGGCAAATGGGGCTTGTGTGTTTTTATTCTGACTTTGTGCTTCAGAGTTTGTGTGGTTAGGCTTCTGGTTTTGAAAGCAAACAATCCCTGTATACGCCTTATATATAGTCTTTCTTTGCTGCACATTTGCATAAGGGAGACAGAGACTTTGTTTTTATGTGTGTAAGAGTGTGTGCAGCCTGCTGTCCAGTGAAGGGTATTCAAGCCAATTCAAAACACTGCTGATCCTGTGTGTTAACCTTGAGCTATGCCCACACTCAAACCTTGACTCCGCACCTGTATGTGTGTTCCTATATGGGTGTTATCAATGCGTGTTACATCTTTTTGCCTCCGAGGTTGGCGACAGACAGTATCCCTTAATGACTAATGCAGGTGGAGAAATAGATTGAGAGAGAGACTGAGAGGGTAGAGTTTGGATGGAGCCGGAGAGATTGGATGCCGCTGTGTAAATGATGTCTGTTTTTCTTTCAGTTGCAAAGTCGGCACCCCCTGCTGTGTTTAGAGAGCAAAAAAACTTAAGACAGGCACAGACTAGTTGCGCGCACACACAGACACACACACATACACTCAAGGACCTTGGGTGGATTAGCTGGAGCTTGGCGGTGGAGACAGAGATGCTTGCGTGCTCGCTTCCTCCCCCACCACCTCCACCCCACCTCCGCTCCTCAGCGCCACTCCTGCTCGCCTGCCCGGGGCCAGGCTCAGGTTTCAATAAGAAGGAGGGTGGTAAAAATAACCCCTGCTTTCCTCTGCTTCTCCCTCCTCCTCCTCCTCATCCTCTTTCTCCCTCTTCTAACTCCCTAACCACCTCCCATATCCCCCACCACCCTTACCTTAGATCATGTTACTATTGACAGAGAGAGAGAGGAGGGAGGTCAGAGAGAGAGATTAAGTGTGGGGACTGACAGCTAGATAGATATCATACACCACATTGTGTTCACAACACCTTAAACACCGCACAGCAGTACTACACACACATTCATACACACACACACACACACACACAGTGGTAGAAACTGAGTTTTTCTTGTTCTTTTGGGTTTTTTTTATTGTCTACATTTGATAAAGTCAAAATACAGCATTGCAAAACAACTCTACTTATAACCTTTCACCCTTTGCCACTGTCAGCATGGATACTGCTGCACTTTCTGAGAAATGGCAAGTTCATGCTAGGGTCAGGCTCAGTCCATTAACAATGCATGTCTGTATGTGTATAGCTTCACATGTAGAGGCCTCTAGTCCATCATTGCCGACTTCTTAATTAATGATCTGTGTACAAGTATGTCTTCTGGCGGATATTTGAGGAAGGCTACAAGTCAAAGAATGCACTGATCAAAAATATGCCTGTTGGAACAATGTATAAAATTAATTTGAGGCAATTCTTTGTTCGGGGTTTACCATGTTTACAGTGGCAATGTGTCCTTATTGTATTTTGTCATCTTTTTAGGGCTGTGCAAGGTGTGATTTTTATCCTAAAATACACCTGTCTTGCGAGCCAAAATCACAAAATGTGGCAGAAAAACATTCCTTTCCCTTCATATTCCTCAAATGAAATTGTGGTGTTTGGTTTAGACACTGCTCAGAGGAATTAACATGTAAAACAATGCAAACTGGTTCCTGAACAGCAGTGAATGAACCCTCCTTTCAGAAAAAGTCAGACTCACTAGTATTAGATTTAGTTCTTCTCTTGTCCCTTGGCCAAACAGCAGTGTTCTGTGTTCAGTTTAGTGATGCCCTGAAATGTGATTTGAACTACAAATGTTTAAAATCTGTGACCTCTGGCTGCCATTTGGAGACACAAGCGGTTTGAAGCTGCATTGTAAATTTGAGTATGTGCTTGAGGCAAATTCCACACAGTCATGCCTGACACAGAGATGACTGTGGACGACGATGAATACACAAAACAATCATATAATCATATGCTGAAAAGAGAGTTTAGTGTACAGCATTAAATTCAGAGCAAGTTAATAGCCTAACAGAGTTTTAGAGCCTGGAGTTTCAAGTTCATGTTTATCTTCTGATGAGTTGGATATTGACAGTCGAATGTCTCCCTCATCTTTTCAGAAAACTCCCAGAGTCCGGTTGTGGAGGCAGGCGGCAGCCACGGCCTCATGAGCCCTGAGGAGCACTACAGGCGCATGATGTCAGCGCTCAGCGAGCAGGGGTCCTATGAGGAGCAGCAGCAACGCCTCTACCAGCTGGCAAGCAGCATGGGTTTGCCCGGCCACGGTCAGTCCACAGCCTGTGTGTGTGTTTGTGTGTGTGTTTGTGTGTGTGTGTGTGACACCATCATCGTCATCTTCACCTTTACTGTCATTATATTGGCTTTCAAATATGTGCGGTGCACTCAGATTCATCTTGTTACATCATATATACCTCAGTGCACAGTTGGTTTTTAAATTCTCTGTAGTGTTTCCTACTCTACCAGTAAGAACTGACTCATGAAAGATCTAGAGGTACTTTTCTTTTAGTTTTTTTTTCTTTGTTTTGAAGTAACTTGAGAGTTAGTTTGAGATTTACTTCAAACTAAGAGTTTCCTTTGGAAGCACTTCACCAGCTTCTGTAAAAAAAAAAAAAAAAAAAAAAAAAAAAACCCTTTTCCATCACCTGTCACCAAGTCACCGAGATGCCGTGCTACTTTGTAACCTCAGAGTGTCGCGCTGTGTTCAGGGTACCATGTTAAGTTGTGCCACACTGCTGCCATTGTAAAACCCCAGCCATGGAGATGGCTGACATTTCTATTTGCGGTGCTTGCCCACCAGTGTCAAAGTGTCACTCAGGGTGATTTCTGACCACCATGGCTCTCCATTGTTAACAACACCCACAAGCCTTCGCATGCATCAACGCCACGACTGATTCGGAAGCTCTCATTGGCTGTCTGCCAGGGCTCTAAATCTCCCAACACTCTGGAAACCACTAGTGTGTCCCAAATTTTCTCAATTTCTACAGACGCATAAAATTTACTGGTTTTAGCATGAGAGAATTGTAGTTTCATGGGGAAGAAAGAAAATGAGAAAAAGTTGCCTTGTTTGGGTTTTATAAGTTGGCTTTACATTCATTTCACTTTGCCTGCCATTAAATGTTAACCTTTTTCTCACATTATTGTAAAGAATGTAACATAAAGTCCTACCAGTCTTTTATGAGCTCTTTCGCAGTAGCATAAATCCAATCGATGCCCCGGCTGAATTGTAGTTTGAGCTACTTTTATTTTTATTTGATTAGTAATGATTTTTAATTGCTGGCTGCAAATCTAGGGGGCGAAGCCTATAAATGCTTTAATTGCCTTTTCCCCGTGTCTTAGAGGAGTTAGAGGAAAGATGCAGTGCATTGTGGGGATTTTATGGCCCAGGGTGCAGTCTGATCGTTGGCTTCCTTTCCCAGAAGCCTTGCTGGTATGAGGCAGACGCTCTGGCGCAACACAGACATACTCGCTCCGTTTCTTCACTTCCACATTCCAAATCGTTTGATAGTTTCCACACTATCCTTTATTCTGCACTTGTGCATTCTTCTTCCAAGCTGCACTTAAAAGCTTTCTATGTGCAGAAGAAGAAGAGACGGAGGTAAAGAGACACCAAAAATAGGAGTCAAAAAAAATCTGAGGAGAGAAATGGTCAAAGGAAATGAGGGAGGAGCAGAGACGAAGGAAGAGTGAATAAATAACTTCTCCCAGAGCAAAGAATCAAGAATAAAAACCTCATACATACAAGTTTACGGTTTATTAACGGTTTATTTAATCACAAAATTAAATACCACTACCATTTAAAACACAACTTAACGTTAAGATTTCCATCAAGCGACGTGTGTGTTTGCATCCACTGTTTGTGCGTGTCAGATCCTCTAAGCGGATGATGAGCCATGGGCATAACAGGCTTTGCCAACGCTCCCTGACAGCCAAGCCTTTGGTGCTGCTAATATTCGTTTTCTTCCACACCTGGCAACTTCCTCCATCTACCCACTGACAGTTTACAAGTTTATGTAGAAAACTTATTTTAACACTACCTTGAAATCCCCTCTCAAATTAACAGTTGGAGCTTGTTAAGAAACTGACACTCTCAGACACAAACAGCCTAGGAGGTGGGACACAGGGACAGCTGTTTTGTCTCTTGAGAGGCTGATGAGAATAACTTCAGTGAGAGCCCCTTGACATTGACCTAGTCTCCGATGGGGCCCCTGTGACCCCCTTCTCCCTCCCCACTGGGCTCCCACCACCACCACCACCATCTCTCCTATACATCTCCCTCTCAAGCACTGCTTTTATACCCCCTCCTCTCCTCCTCCTTTCCTTACCCCCACCTCCAACTCTCCCTTTAGCCTTGGTCCCCGCAGAGCATCCTTTCATGTGTTTGAAGTGTAGGGCACAGAAAATGAAAGTGTGTGTGCGTGAAAGAGGCGGGGGTGAGATGGAACTCTGTGTGCATGTGTGTGCGGATGTGTGTGTGTGGATGTGTAGGTGCAAGGTGTTGTTTGAGAGGCTCTCTCTGGACCTGATGGGCAAAAGAAGAGTTGGAAGGGGGAGGAGGGGCTGAAATTTGAGGTGGAGGGGTGGCGGGGTTGTAGAAATGGCCAGGAGGGCTTTCCCCCCCTCTTCATATGATGAAAGGAGAGAGAAAAGAAAGAGAACGGTGGGGGTAGAAATCCAGATGAAAGTGAAGGGAGGGGTGGGATGGAAGGGGCGTTCTGTTTTGTCTCGTGCAGTTTAGTCTGATTTGAAACATGAAGCTACCCAACATCTATTTATTATCATCCCAAAGAGCTGGAAAACTCCAACATGGGATTGGTCAAAGTACAAACAGTCAAACACACTGAGTGTGACAAACAAGCCACAAATTTACTGCTGGCTAAGCCTACGATGCCGGTTGAATACCTCTTCCTGAAAAGATACTCAATTTTCTGGTGTATGGTGCGCTTTAGCGGATGGATGTCGGCTTTTGTGTACCTGCCAGTCCACCAAATCCATCACGAGGCCGGCCAAGCTGTATCAGCGCAGCGCTCCTCTGCATTCTCAGGCCGAGGAAAACCCGGCTTAACCAAGGGGATTTAGGCCCAACTCCAGGAATGATGGCAGGGAGAAAAATGAGATGGCACAAAGGAGGGATAAGCGGGATGGGTCCGAGTGGTAAACTGGGACCTCCCAAAATAACTCTTGCAAAGATGTGTGTCATTGTGTGTGTTTGTGTGTCCTCAATTAGGACTCTAATTTGCAGTCAGAGGGACTCTCCCCTTGTGTTCCAGCAGCTGCAACACGAAGAGTTTTAGAGTGCGAAATTCTGTATCTGAGTACCTACTCTCTATACACACACACACACACACACACACACACACACACACACACACACACACAGGGGTAGAGCCCCAGGTGACCCTGCTCCTCTCAGTTCACATGATGAAAGAGAATTAGAGAAGGAGGGAGGGGGGTGCAAAATATGGAACCTATGTCGAAGTGAAGCTTTACAAACATGGACTGGATAAAAAGAGAATGAAATAAAAAGAGAACTGGAAGAAATACTAGACAGAGAAATGTTCAAAATAAATGTAGAGTTCCTACAGTGTTCTACCGCTTGTATTGTGTGGGTTTAAAGAAGCACTCCACTTATTTAACATATCGAAGTCAGGGCCATAGCTACAATTGACTCATTTTTGGATTAAAAAGGAGCCTCGTATGTTTTTGACTAAATTTCTTTGACTGATTTGACAAACGTCTACATAAAATAAACATTATTTAGTGTTCTCCACCAGGATTACCTCCTACCAGTGTAAAGAAGGAATTCATTAAACAGAATATCCATTTTTAAAATGGAATTCATAAAATGTGAAATTTTATTTATTCATTTTATTTATTTTTATTTGCATTGTGGCTTAAGTGGCTGGGTCCTGCTGGAGGAATTTGGACTTATGACCTCAGTATTTTTAAATTCCTGATTATAGTGCTGGTCAAAGTCAATTTACCAATCACAGGGAGGACTACTCAGCCTGTGGAAACAGTTGTTTAAAGTCTTCTGTGGCTCTGGAAAACCCAGAGTCTAAAAGGAGCTATGTTGAAGAAAATTACTCTAGTGAAATCAGTTAAGTAATTTCAGCTTGGAAGCTGCAAATTTTTTAACCCAAAGTAACTGTCTCACAACCTGAGAGCACGGAGTTTGAAGGACATGGTGTTTACCAGGCAGGGAGGGTCTAGTCAAAGACGCTGTTGTGTGGCATTGTGGGACGTGTCTTTGGTGGAGCTCAACCCTAATTAAGGTTTGAAGCCAAAAGTTAGAATCTCTTCCTTGTGTCTTATTTCGGCTGTAATATAACCAGGATATCTCGAGCTCTACTGAATTGATTGACCATTCTTTTTAAAAAACGTGTCTCTTCAAAGTCTCCAAACTTTACAGAATTGCAACACTAAATCACTGGAGTGGCCCTTTAACTGAGAGTCATACTAAATAATTGGTGAGGTGGGATAGTGACCACAGTTAAGTCTTAGAGGTCAACTCTTCCACCCTGTCACCCCTACACCATGTATGCAAGTGCACAACAGTCTGTGTGTGTGTGTGTGTGCGTGCGTGCGTGCGTGCGTGTGTGTACTCTTGGGCTCCAGTTCCCTCTGATCCTTCCCTTATCTCCCCTTTACACACACACACACACACACACACACACACACACACACACACACACACACACACACACACACACACAAACACCCTTGTCTGCCGCCAGCCGAGTCCCCTGCGGCCTGGCGCAGCAAACAGATCGATACACCGGAGCTAGGCCGCATTAATATCTGTCGCTTCACCCCCCCACCCCCACCCCACCCCGGCGCCTGCTCAACTGCTTCAGCACACACAACACACACAGAAACACACAGTCAGGCACGCACACGCAGGCACCTAAATCACACAGACACACATCACACCCGCACCGGCGGCGGAAATGGCCCCTAGCTCCCGAGGGATCTGTCTAATTAAAAAAGTGGGGAGGGGGGGAGAGGGGAGGGGAAGAGGCGGAGAAGAGCAGAGAGAGGATAGATAGATTGAGGCAGAGAGAGAGAGAGAGAGAGAGAGAGGGAGGAGAGAGAGAGAGCAGGATGGATTTTTCTCTCATTAGAAGCCATGTCTCCTGGTGTGGCCTGGCCTGGCTGATAATGATGAGGCCTCTTCTCCTATGAGGGCGAGAGAGAACAGGGGTGGCTGGGAGAGAGGGGAAGAGTGAAGAAAGAGATGGAATGAGGCGAGTGGTAGAGGGCAAGAAGGTGGAGAGGAGAGGGCAGGCAGGCAGAGATTGAAGGAGAAGGTGTGATGATGGTGGCAAAGGTGGGGAGGGGTAAAAATGCTCGGCACCTGATGTGTGAAGTTGCTTTTTGCTCTCTCGATTGTACAAAAACACGCCAGGATTTGTTTTGAAAACATTATCACACACAACATCATTTTTCATGGCATCTTTTCTAACCTTTTAGCCTTTCCGCGTCCACCTCTTTATTTCCTCACATTTACTTGAAAGTGGTCAGCTCAGTTCCAAAGCGTGGCCGATGGATTTGAACACCGTGTGCTAATTTCATACACCTCTGCCAAAATGTCTGTTTCGTTTATCTTTGTTCAGTGCGAGTGTGTTTACATGCTCATGTGTCTGTATGCGTGTATGGGTGTGACATGGGGATTAGAAAGTGCATCACAATCATTTTCAGTATTAATGTGGAATGAGCCGAGGGTGGGTTTTTAAAATGACTTATTGGTATTTTTATGAGCTGTCTGCATACTTAACCCTCACATCCATCACTACAGGACAATAAACAACTTTTTAAAGTATGCATCACTTCTTCAAGTCATGTTTACACTTACAGCTAAACACACTTAACAACTATAAGCTGGTGAAATGTATAGTTTTTGTATGTTTTTTTTTTTTTTTTTCCTGTCTAAACTTTTCCACACAATGCTGATATTCTTTTAATCTCTTAGTATAGACATGAGGAGCTGGATGCTAAATTTGTTTTTATCCCCTCCTCCCTCTTGCCTCCCCTTTGCTTTTTCCCCTCTGAATCCTTCTTGTCTTTCCTCTTTGCCTCAACTATTAATCATCTTTTTAATAAATCATCTTTGTCTTGTCAACTCTCCCCATTTCTCTCCCTATTTGCCCCTTCGCTCCCTCTTCAGACATACTGCGTGCTCGTCAGGAGGCGCTGGCTGCAGCGGTGAGGAATCCAGTGGCCTTAGAAGCTCACCTGCCCTCGGCGGGCAGCTCTTCTTCATCCAGCCAGAGACGCAAGCAGGGTCTGCCGCAGCACCGAGACGCACATTACACCGACAGGTAAGAAGCAGATACAGATGCACACTTGCTTGATACCTAGGTCCCTGTCAGCTTTGCCAATAGCTAGCTATTGAAACTGCAACCATGCTCTGCTTGCAATACCAGTATTATTCATCATTAATAAAGCCCAACACCCACATCTGCACACACACACATACTGCATAAGAGGCCACAATTGATGTGACCACACATAAATATAGAAATCACAGTGAAAAAATGTGGAGAGAACGCCTGTAAGTGGGGGAAAGAGTTGAAGGAGTTAATCAGCTGCCAGTCTGCATCACTACACCACTGCACTTCTCTTTCCGTTCTCCCTCCCATTTCCTAGCACAAGATCTGATCTAATTTTTGGCTTTTTCAGTGTGCTGCAGTGCATGTTTGTGTGTGTGTGTGTGTGAATGTATGTGCATCTCCACATACATGGCTAAACTAAGGATCCAATAACCTCTTGGCTACCACGGTGGAGCTGCACGCCTGCATCCCTGGCTCTTCCTCCCTCCTCTCCCCCCAGCGCTGGCCCCTGCGCCTCCCAAACAAAGCCGGGGGCAGCGGGAGTGGGCGGGTAATTGCTTGTCGATTATTTATGTGGCGCGGGGAGAGGCGGGGGATCGATAATGGGCCGGCGGTGCGGCAACAGGGGGGGAGGGTGTGAGTGCGAGAGGGGGGTGGTGAGGGGTAGGGGTGGGGATGTAAGCAGGAAGCAGAGCGGCTGGTCGCTGTGTGGTGCAGCTCTGGTAGGCTGTGGGGGTGTATATATTGTGTATGTGTGTGTATTGAGGCGAGGGGGGGGCTGATTGTTCGTTTGTGTTTGTTTGTTCCATTTTTCAAGCTGGCCGTCTGCATGCGTGCTCATCTATGCGGATTGAATTTGGGTTTGTTTGTGTGAATATGTCTGCTAATTTGTGCGTGTGTGTGCGTGTGTGGCCAGTGGTGCAGTGTGAATGTAGTCAGTGAGCCGCGGCTGTTCTCCAACAGCACACAGAGTAATTAGCCACACAGGACCAGGGAGAGTTAACTAGGCCTCACCCTCCCTCCATCCATCCATCCATCGCTACCTCACCCCGTCCCCCTCTACCTCCCCCTGTCTCCTCTTTAACCCTTTCACTTTCAATATGTTTTTTGGAGTGGGGAAAAAAGAGGGTTAATGGGGAAAAAATGTTGAAGTGCCCTTTCAATCACTTGTACTAATGTGCACATGAAAATGCAAGAAGAAAGAAAAGGGAAACAGACAAAGAGTGTTGCAAAATCTGTATAATGTTGCACCTGCATCTACATTCACTGTAGGTTCAAAAGTACATAGATACACACTTTAGTGTAGTTTTGGTCTAGGGTTGTTTTTATGTTCTGGGCCGGGTCCCTTACTGCCTATTAAGGGAAGTCTTAGTGCTACTGCATAAAATATTTTTTTTGACAACAGTGTGCTTCCAACTTTGTGGCAACAGTTGAGGGAAGGCCCCCTTGTGTTTTAACAAGTAATGCCCTCGTGCACAGTCCATGAAGAGACAGATTTCCCAGTTTGGCCTGAGAGAACATAAGCGACCTGGATAGAAGCACCTTTGGGATGAACTGAATCACAGACTTTATCAAAGGCCGTATTGCCCAACCCCAGTAATGCTCTTGTGGCTGTGGCTTAAAGCAACATGGGTTTGTGTAGAGAACAACAATGTCGTGTGGATGTAATGTCCACATATTTTCGGCCATGTAGTGCACACGTGTCTAAGTGCTAGACTGTACCCGCTCCCCATAAAATACACACAACCTGCAGAAAAGAGAGATTGGGAGAAAATTAAGAAGAGACATGAGAGTGGAATGAGTGCAAAGTGAAGAGAAAATTAAAATCAAGATAATTGGGGAGCAAAAGCAAAAAACAGAATGAAAAGGCGAGACGGAGGAAGTGAGTTAGAGACAGAAGCTCTTCCCCTCTCTAACTCTCTCCATGGCTCACCTTTCCATCGACCCCTCATCATTGATTATCTGGGGCCCATTAGGGCCCATTGTTAAAAACAAATCATTAGGGCCGCTCGATGGGCTTAGAGCCTGGCGCTCCATTTGTCTGGCCTTAAATGGCACTAAGCTCACCAAGCATCTGCAAGGCAAATAGGGGAGGGATGGAGAAAAGTAAAGAGAGAGAGAGAGGAACTGGAAAACATGGAGCTTAAAACGGGGATGAAGAGGGGAGATGGTGAGAGGACGAAATGACGGAGAGAGAGAGAGAGATGAAGCAAAATAGGGAGTGAGGAGATCGAGAGAGTGTGAGATAAGGGGAGGAAGGGAGGGACGGAGAGAGCAAGCGAGATAGAGGGCGGGAGAGAGAGAGAGAGAACGAGCGCGGAGGGAGCCTCATCCATTTTAATGAGCTTCCTGTGTAAATGTGTTCCTGCGGAGAAGGAGCCGAAGGCGGCCGCGCGGCGCTCCTAATCCCCCCACGCTCCCATCATTAAGGGCAGCCCTGTCACACACACACACACACACACACACACACACACACACACACACACAGAGCCTGGGCTGCTGTGGGACGGGACCGCTGTCGCCACTCTGACAGGTCGTCACACACCAGTGAATTCCCCAGGAGCCCATGGCCTCACTGCAGGCAGAGAGAGAGAGGAGGAGAGAGAGAGATTGGGAGAGAGGTGGGGCGGGGGAGAGAGAAAGAGAGAGGGGGGCATTCTGTGATATCGCTAGTTCTGCCTGATTATGAGCGCACCTTGCATTTGTGATTCTGACCATTTTCAGTCTCGTGCTAAAGCTAGGTGAATGTTTCTCACCCTTTTATAACATGTTAGTCATTTGCCAACTAAATGCAAAGATAGGGCAAAAGACACACACACACACACACACACACAAAAACCAAGCAAGCACAAAACGACTAATGTCTGCCACTCCTCCCTCAAAATTGCCGCCTATAAAAGGAGGAAGAGAGGGAGCGATGGAGGAAGGGAGTGGAGGGGAGTGTCAGACTCTCTCTCTCTCCCTCTCTCTCTCTCTCTCACCGTGATTAGGCCTAATTATGGTGGCGCAGACGCCTGGCAGCCCCAGTCATGCAGCTTTAATTGACCGTTATTCATCTGCGGGCTAACGCCAGGCAGGGGTAGGCGGTGTAAGGAGAGGGAAGAAAGAGAGGGAATATCAGAGAGAGGGGGAGGGAGGGGGCAGGGGGTGATGGGCGTTTGGCGTGCGGGAGCCATGGCGGGGGTGGATGGGAGTTTTGCGGGCGCCTTGGCGAAGCCTAGTGGAACTGCGCGTCGCAAGGCTAATTGCTAGCCCCGAGGGATTAGGCCAGGTGATTACACACTGGGCGGTGTAATTACATAAGCAGCGGCTAGCAGGGCCCCGGCTCGCGGCTCTGGGGGTCACGCGCCGCAGCCCTCACCCAAGATTAATTGGAGCTGCCACTGGAGTGCGAGGCACCGCCGGAGAGAGCGGTTATACGATTAGCATTAACATTTCAGCGGCGGAGGCGATCGATGAATGGTTTCACCCCTCCCTCCACACACGCAGACGCACTCGCACGCACGCGCACCCCCCCACCACCCGCACGCACACACACACACACACACACACACACACACACAATCTCATCTCCCCGCTCTTCTATGTGTGCCCTCCCTCCTTGCAATTCCTCTCTCCTTTTCCCTCACCATTTAGTGAGGTGGGAGACATGCAGGCGCTAGCTAATTTGAACACGGTTGCAAAACAATATTTGCGGTTGCATGCGTCCCAGTGTTGGTTTTGATTTTGTTGTTTTCCTCAGCTTGTTTCCCATGTATGCTTTCGTGCGGCGGCAGTCACACACAGCTGAGTTCTGATTGGTGTGATAGCAGCAGCTCAGGAGGAGAAAAACAAGAGACAGGAGAGGAAGAGGTGTGGGTCGCATGAGCTCAGAAAGGCCCAGAAAACAGCTGAGCATCATCATCCACTCCAGACCCTACATCCATGAGGATGAGCACAAAACTGAGAGAAAGAGGGATAGGATGAGAGAAAGGATTACAGTGAAAAAAGAAGTGGGAGAGAAACTAAAAGAAACACACAGAGGCGAGACAAGGCCGGGATAAAGAGAAAGGGTGAGATGGATGATGAGTGATGAAAAGGGGAGAGAAAAATATATAGAGGTGAAAGAAATAAAAGTGTAGGGGGAAAAAAGAGTGAACAAAACAGATTTTTAGAGGTCACAAAAAAGTAGAAAGACAGGAGTAAAGAAAAGAAAAAAGATGGGTAAGACAGAACAAGAGACGGAGAGAGAGGGAGAAAGGTGAGAGGCGCCTTTCCCCCTCAAGGAGGACAAAAGACGAAGCCAATAATGGAGAGGCCTTTTCAGAAGCAGAGGTTGCAGGACGCTCCATCTTTTCACCGGCTTCAATGCAGCCTAGAGAGAGAAGAGGGAGAGAGAGAGGGGAACAGGGAGAAGGGTGTAAAAAAGGGAGAGAAAAGAGAGGAGGGATGAGTGTTAATTAGAAGGTCCTTCAGCCCGTGGCCCCGGTCAAGACACAGGGGCCGCCCCAGCTGTCGGAGCATGACACACTGGCATTGTGCATTCAGCCCTCATTATGTGTGTGGGTCTGGAGTTGTGTGTATGTGTCTTTCTGTGTGTATATCGCTTGTGTGTGTGTGTGTGTGTGTGTGTGTGTGTGTGTGGCGGCAAGGGGAAGGAAAGGCTGCAGTCCAGGGTACAGAAATGGCTGGCGGCGCTTGTTGCGGCGTGACAAGACTGATGAGGCACTGGGGCGACACGGGGGCCTCTGGAGCTACACCGATAAAAATACACCGCGTACATTGGTGTGGCAGTGTGCACACATTTACCAAGATGGAGTTGAGAAAAAACACTACTCACTTAACCGTCATGTATTATACATACCTCCTGCTTAATGATTGTGTCATTTTAATTTATTCAGTAAAATCCAAATTCAGCTTAATGTCGTCTTTTTATATTTATGTCCACAGAGAACTGTCTCATCCTCCGCCCCTACTGTCCCCTCCAACTGCCCCTCACATCGCCTTAGGACCTCACCTGCGGCCTCCTTTCCTGGGCATGCCCTCTGCTCTTTGCCAAGCTCCTGGTGAGTAATCAGTCATTCTAAATAGTTGATATTAGCACATAGAACCAATAAAAAAAAAAAACATCCACATTTGCATTGACATGGAAATGTTTGATGGTTTTGTATCAAAACAGAACATTCAGTTCCAAAACACTGTAGTAGTTGCACATCATCTATTAATTTCTAACTGTTTCTAAGATGTGGGAGGTTTTTACATTGTTGCTTACAGGAGTGTTTTCTTGCCGTTTCCATCACAGGGTATGGTTTCCTCCAACCAGCTCAAGCTGAGATCTTTGCTCGGCAACAGGAGATGTTGAGGAAACAGAATCTAGCCAGGTGTGTGTGTACATTGTAATGTCGTTGTAATGAGTGATTACATAAATATATCGACAGCTAAAAGTAAGTTTTAGGATGTGGGTTTACCGGTAGAAGAAACTTGTTGACATAATTATAAGTTCTTCATAAAGACCAATGTAAATATTATTGTGATTTACTGTCAAATTTTAATCATTTGACCTGGATGTTAAAGTTCCTGCATGTTTCACTGCCTCAGACTTGAGATGTCAGCAGAGCTGCTGAGACAGAAGGAGTTGGAAAGTCTCCACCAGCGACAGCAGCAGCGTCTTCTGGGCTCTGACCCTCTGGGAGCTCTACCTCCTAGCCTGCCCCCTGACCATCCTGCCCTGCGGAGCCTCCACGACATCCCAGAGGGCCATCCTCTCCGTGAGGAGCTGGCCCGCCGGTCAAATGCAATGCTGGTGCTTCGCCATGGAGCTGCCACACCCCTCCTAACCCTCAACCACCAGCAGCACCAACCAGGGGCATCCACCACACCCAAAGACACCCAGGCACAGAGCTCCACTGCTGGGCCAGATGCAGAATCCAGGAAGGCCCCCCGCAGGGGTCCCCAGATACAATTCCGTGCTGGGGATCACATAGGAGGAAGAGAGGACAGAGGAAGGGAGGGAGACAGGGAGGTGCAGGATGAGGAGATGAAGGACTCCGACAGTGAAACAGAGATGTGCACAGAGAGGCAGGAGGGCATCAGTGCCAAGTCCACCAGTAAACCCAGGGACAGGGAGAGAGATGGGGGTAAGGAGACTGGCAGCAAGGGAGTGTGTGACAGTGCCAAGGAGACTGGAGAGTGCTCAGGCAGGCTGAGCGCCCCTTGTAGCTCAGCAGGTACAGAGTCACCCAGTCGCCACCTCTTCACTCCTGGACTGGGCAAGGCTGATGTTAAATACCACCTGCCACCTGGACTCATGCCACCTCTGCCTGCTCTTCACGCCCAGTCGTTCCCCTTTGGATTCCCCTACGCCAACCCTTACTTTCACACGGGTAAGAGACTCTCTCTCTCTCTCACTCACACACACACAATGCTGAAAGCAAACATGTGAAACCCATTAGCGTCACTCTGTGTGCGTGTCTCCAGTGTGGAGACCTCTCCCTGTTAGGGGCCCTGCCTCTGACCCCTGTGTGACCCTTATGCACACCACCAGCAGAACAGCCACGTGGGCAGAAAGGAGGGAGGAGGGGATTGTTTGTTCACATACGTTTAATACACACACACACCTTGTCCATATACGTTATTACTAAATAAAACAGAACACTTATACTTTTTTGCAAACACTAAAAATACTAGGACAAACTAACTTTATCATTATACAAATTCCCACCATGAGCAACTAAATGACAGGGATGAAATCTCGTCAGTAGAGGTGACCCTATTTGTTGATTTATCCAAAAATACCAATATAAAGTTATTCCAAGACAAGTTTGATTATCAATTAATAGTTTAAGTGATGTATGAAGCAGAAATACTAGATATTCATACATTCACCTTCTGTTGATTTTCCTTTATGACTTTGTAAATGTAATACCTTTGAGTCAATGTTTTCATCATCATGACAAAGCTTACCATGACAAAAACAACAATTTTGTAAAAATGCAGTTCAAAATACTTTAACAGGAGACTCTGAGGTGTCTCTCAGTTTGCATTGTTTGAGTCCTGCATCACTAAAAATGTGGACCAGAAGCAAGATCCTCAGTATTACTAGCAGCTTTGTACCCAGTGTTTACATTGACACATCATTTTCACCCACTGCTGCTCTTTCAGGCTCTGTGGGAGGTCTTTTCATGGATGGGGAGGACTCGGCCACAGCAAATCCTGTGGAGGACATCAGCAAGTGGAGTGTGGAGGACGTGTGTGGCTTCATAAGCAGCCTGGCCGGATGTGCTGAATACACACAGGTGAGGACATAGGGAGAGGGAGGAGAGAGAGAGAGAGAGAGGGAGGAGGGGAAGGAGGCCAGGGGCAGGCTGACTACTAACAATAGAGGAAGAATAGTGACAAAGATATAATTCATACTGCTGCGCTACTGTAGCATTTTCTAAGGCATTTGATTATGTTTAGGGTAGAAACACTAAACCTGTGGAGCACAAACAGTTCTTTCAAGTTTATTGTGAATGCGTGTGGATGCATGAATGGTCATGTTCACAATTGCCATATTTGTGGGCTTTGTGTGAATGAGGATGAGTTAGCAGTACATGTAGAGGTGTACACCTGTAGCTTGTGTGAATGCAATATGTACGTGTGTGTATAGAGATATATCGTTCCAAAATGAAGCATCCAGCATTTGAGAAAAGTGGACCAGTCTTACCCTTTTTTTTTAAAATCTTGAACAAAATAGGACATGGCACAATATTTTAAAACAATACTCACATGTTGACATGCATGTTTAAAGAGTTATTAGTTGCTGTTATCATTCTGGCCATGGTGTGAAGAGATTCCTTCCCAGCTTGACTCCTAGCTTGTGGGCAATGGGAGACATCCACACCACTATGTTTTAAATGCATTTAAAAAATGAAAACGTAGTAGTGGGGACGCAGCAAAAATCATATTCATGTTCTACGCAACAATGATTTCCAGTGTTCAGCAGCACAAATCAAAATACAGGCCTCTTAGTACAGAATACATTGTTATTAGCTTCGGATGAAATTTAGAAAACGTTTTGTTTTGGAGCAACATGACGGGATTTGTCCCTCATCTCCAAAATTGGAGTCACACCAGGAACAGATTTCTTTAGGTCCACTGTGAACAGGAGAAATGATTAGTAGCCAATAATTCCTTCCATATGCATCTGTGCATCAATGTGAATTGGTATTAAATTGAAAAAATCTGACCCAATCCTTAAAGAGACAATATAGGTATGTAACATTTTGGAATACAGCCACTGTTTTGTAGGTTGTGTGAGTGATTGTGTAAGTTTGTGTGTCGTGTGTGTGTGTGTGTTGGGGCTGAGGCTGAAGCAGCTGTGTCTTCGCCAGGTGTTTCGGGAGCAGGCCATTGATGGAGAGACATTACCGCTGCTCACTGAGGAGCACCTGCTCAGCACCATGGGACTAAAGCTGGGGCCCGCACTCAAGATCCGCTCACAGGTACACACACTACAGACCTGCGTGTGTGTTTGTGTGCGATCCAGTGAACTTGCTAGTGAGCTGTGTGTTGGAATGCGTGTTTCTGTCCGTAGGCCCACAACAAACGAAGTGTAGCATAGCTGATTCCCTCAAATTAGCCTGCCCCCCAGATTGCAGCCTCTCTTCTTCTGCGCTCTCTCTCTCTCTCTCTTACAGTACATACAACATTAGTCCATTACACAATACTCAACAGAATGTACCAACAGTCACGTGTCTCCTCTCGTCTCCTCAGGTGGCGCGCCGTGTTGGCAGGCTTTTCTACATGACTGGATTTCCCTTGGCGTTCCCATTTCCGCCTTCTGCCGCTCTGCGCCCCCCAGAACGGGATCGGGACCCCCTTGCCACGCCATCTGACACCCCCCTGCCCCTCTCTCTGTCCCTGCCCCACAGACCCACCTCCACCAGCAGCAGCTCCTCTCCCTATAGCGGGCCTACCCCAGGATGCTCCTCCCCCAAGCAGGAAAACGGTAATGGCTCCACGGTGGTGGGAAGATACGAGGCCAAAACTCCTTCGTAGGAGCTGAGAGGCATGGGGGAGCAGGGCAGACCTGCCTCAAGCTAACCAGAGAGCTGAGGGAGGAGCAGGAGAGAGAGAGGGGGGGGTGTAACCTGAACCAGAGAGATTGACTCCTAGGCTCTATTTAACAGACCCCCCCCCCCACCTTGGGACCTTTATGCTAAAATTTATGGGAAAACATTGGACTGGAATAAAAGACAACTGGACGATATGAACCACATCCGGCAAACCAATCAAGAGTCTGAGTTCCTCTGCAGTGGCTGTAGCTGAGCAGAATCCAAAGAAACTGTGTTGGAAGGGAGACACGTGAAGCGACAGAGGAACAGAGAAAAAGAAAAAGGAGGAAAAGGAGACAGCTGGTCACAGAGAGCTTGCCAAAAAAAAAAAAAAAAAAAAAAAGGAGCGAAGCCCTGCCACAAATGCGACATTCTTGCGAGTCAGACAGTCAGACGCTAGCGGAAACTCTTCCTTCCTTCCTGAGCTGGAGGAAGCTCTGCTCACTCACTCTCTTTCTCTAGTCTCCATCTCTGACTGCTCTCACCACAAGCCCTGCAGAATCCAGGAATTAAAAAGAGACGCCTCTCCCCTCTTTTCTCTCCCTCCCCTCCTTCTGCTCGCTTGTTTTCCGAAGCCAAACAGCAGCGTGGAGCTATCTTTTTGGAGGCTGGAGTTGAAGCATATGTTGAGCAGCACCAGATCTGACCATCTCCCTCTTATCACTGCAACTATGCATTCCACTGTCCCAATACCAAAGATGACCGGATGTGTGGAATTGGAAACACGTTTCACAATGTGTCCGCTTCTTTTTGCATTAATAGTCTCAGAGAAAGACTGGTCCAACAGGGGAATGCTAGGCTAGTGCCTCACGTGACGGACTGTGTTTAGGGTGACACAGGTAGATCTGTCATTTCCTGACATACAAAAAAGGCTTAAAAATGTTGGTGAAATGGAGAAGCCTCTATGGTGTGTACGGCTTACGTCTTTGTACGCTTGTGTTGACTACTGTGGGAGGTAGGAAAAACATGCAAAATTGTACAGAATCATGCTTAAGATGAAAATATCCTGAAGGTTACATACGTGGTACTTTTACTTTTTGTTAAATGTAGTTGCACGAATAAGGTTTTCTTTACTGAAAAATGTGACTTGCTGAACTTTGGTGGTACTTCTGTTCATAATTTTGTTCTGCCATTTTTTTTTTGAAAGTGTAATATTAAAAGACGCTCCAATCTCGAATGCTACTTCGGCATATAAATATGAGGAAAAAAATATTTATAGGACTTTTGATGTAGTAGATAAAGCAGATTATGATATGTATTATAATTAGCCCTTCAGATGGATTCCAAAGATACTTTTACTTGGTTTTCTCTTGGTTGCAGGGAAAAGTAAGGCACAAAAGCTCTTAATGCAAATGTTTTGAATTTGTTATGGATTTTTTTTTTTTTTTTTTTTTAAACAACGCAAGCAATGAATTAAAATGGTCTCTAGATTTCCCTTCAAAAGTTTTGTCTTCATCCTATTTTTCTATTCACCATACAGGTGAAATAAATCCTAAAGAAATTCCTCACTTCTCTCATTTGTCATTTGTTTCAGATGATGTATATGTGCCTTTTCCTACTAAGGTGTTTGTGGTTGTTCAGTAAAAACTTGCAGGAGGGAGTATGTGGTCTCCTCGCGTGTGTGAAGGGGAGGTGACCCATGGGGGGCACAGTTCAGGTCAACACCAGCTGTCAGAGTGTGAGGTTCAGCCGCAGGCTAAGGCCTCCCTGCCTGTGGGGATAAACCTGACCCGCCTCATACACCCACACACAGGACCAGCACCAGAACCAGGAATACACCCCCACTCCCCGCCACTTCACACTTACCTTCCTGCTTCAAAGAGTTCACACTGAAGCAGAACACTCTACAGACTTTGCTGGGACTTCCCCTCGCTTCAGGCTGGGCCTCTGCACCAGAGGGTTCTGTATTCACTGAAGATGACTACAGAGGAAATGTGGCGACACAAATCAAATCCTCATTTGTGGTGTTAAAGTCCATGTCAAACAACAACTCTGCCCTGTATTGTACACCAGTGAATGCATGCGATAATCGTTCACCCAACAAAGCCCAGTATCACCTTTACTTTAGTGGTGAAAGCTACAGTAAAGCTGAGAAAGAAAAGGGGAGAAGTTAGAGTAGGAAAGCTGTGTCTGAGCATGTGAATACACAGACAGAAAAGACAGTGGTCCGGGAGGGGGGTGGGGGGGTTATGAGGAGTTGGCACAGAAACAGACCAGCCTGTGTTGCTGCTCTACCACCTGGGCAGAGAGTCTTGGCACAGCATCAGACGCCACCCTGCCAGCCTGGCACAGCACTGCTGCCTCGGGGCTCAACACCCGCCTCTCTGTACCCCTCCTCTTGGCCGGCCCAGCCTGGCTCGGCCCGGCTCAGCAAGGCTCACAGCTCTCTCCAAATAGCCTGTCCTCACAAAGCCTGAGGGTGCCTACAGGTGTGCACATGTACGGAGGACAAAAATGACTTTTTTCAGGTGCACTTCTGCATCAACATGCACATGCACGCTTCAATTAATTAGCATCTTAGGGGAAAAAAAAAAAAAACAAAGACTCTTTTTTTTTCTTTTCAATTTCAATGCTTCATAAAATTATACCATTAACACATTTGTACTGTACAAGTGAAGTAATACAAAATTCAAAAGCAAAGAATATAACAAATAATCCAAATATATCGGAGGAGAGCATAAAAAGTGTCTCAGGTGAGCTCGATCGCGTGAACCCATGATCCCTCAGTCATCGTCAGACAGCTCCAGGTCCTCCACCAGATCCTCGTCTCCCTCGGCCAGCTTTATCAGAGCAGAGGAGGACAGCGGCTGAGGAGCCTTGGATGCCTTTTCATCCCCTTCATCATCATCTGGAATACAGACAGGAAACACTTGTTATTCAGCTGATGGAGTCCAGCAGTTACCAGAGTTACATTCTGTGCACAAGTTAGTAATTCCCATACTCATACACATTACTACACTATGTGATTGAACAGGGTTATTGTAGCAGTATTAAGTTACAAGTTACAAACTGTTGTTGCTACTCCAGTCAGGTAGGGACACCTAGAGAGTTAGCAGCAGGCTAGCAGCTGTTTTATTATTCAGTTGTATGAAAAAGTTTGGACAAATTAAATAAAATACATATTTGTTGCTTTCTTTGAGGTGAAAAGAAGTAAATAAAAAGTGAGCCTGTTTGTTTCTTCCAATGTGAATTTCCTGTTTGCGGTTATTTCATTAAATTAAAGAACGTAGAAAATGATTGCATACTAATTGTGGCATATGCAAAAGTTTGGGTCAGTACTTAAATGGCCCCTCGCCCTCATAGTAATTAAGTGATTCATAATATTCAGACAAAGAACAGCAGTAAATTCTGTGAAACTAGGGAATATTATAACAGTTTATCCATTATTAACAGTTGCTGATTATTTTTTGATCAACTAAATGTTTTAGTTGAGTGTTCACATTTATTTAACCTTTTAATAACAGTGCTGCTCGGATTTATACAGTTTTATTTAGTGTCTTGGCTGGTAAACTACAACTTTGTTACATCAGACATCCCTTAAAAGTATTTTACATAATAGCAGATGGTTCCTGTTCCGTTCATTTGTGCATTACTTCCTAATTCAAGGGACTGGATTAAGTAATTAGAAGGTAGGAATTTCTGTGCAGCGGTTATTACTTTGAGGGTGTGACTTACTCATTTCGATTTAAAAATTTAGGTCTGCAACTAATTATTTTCATGATTGATGAATCTTTCAATACTATTGTTGATTAATTGATTAGTCTTTAGAATATCAGAAAATAACTAATTATATTAAGTTCAAATCATCAAGAAAATCAACTAATCTTCAGTTGGATAGACTGAAATCAGATGATTGCTTTTGCATGAAAGAAATGACTAAAATTCATGAATTATTAAAATAGTTACTGATTACTTTTTTCTCAACCGATCAATCATCATGAAGAAATACACAACAAATGAATAGTTACGCAACAAACTAATGATTTGTTATTGCTATCAGAATGCTTCTTGGACACTGATGTTGCACTAACCTGAGTCTTCTTCCATTCCCTCATCATCGCTCATGTCAGACAGGTCGTCAAGATCATCATCATCCTCATCATCATCTGACCCACGGGTGCCCTTTTTACCTGAGGAGAGACAGCGAAAAACATTACACTGCATTGAATTTTGTCTACCGTTACTTTTGACATTTTAAAGTTTGCGTTGGTGCATCGCTGACGTCTGAGGACTTTGGAGACATCTATATGTGGGCCAGGTATCAGAGGCAGCTGGAAGAGTCTATTTCCTCCTGAGATGGAACTGAGAGTCGATTACAGACGCCGCCGCTGCTGCTGCACAAACACCCATGACAGTTTACTACCTGCAATTTCAGACATCTTATGCTCACGGCCTAAATATAGCAAATGGAGATAGCAGGCAGGTTCCACAGCTACGATGATGATGGGAATGTTGGTGTGTGTGTGTTTGTGTGTGCCAGAGAGAAGTTGGGAGTTTGTCTGAAACTGTGTTGTGCTATCTTCAGAGTACAGTGTGTGTGTGTGTCTGTGTGTGTTGTCTAGCCAAAGGGACAACTGGGGTCCACAGGCTTTGAAGTTGAGGTGTGATGAGAGGCTGGGGGCGTGGAGGAGAGAGAGGCAAAACAGAGCTACTGCGAGCACGGGCGTACACACACACACACACACACACACACACACACACACACACACACACACACACACAGATAAATAACATCTATTAAAGCATCAGCCATTTCCCTTCCTATCTGAATGTAAAGATGACAAACACACTTTCACTCCCTCCCACTCTCTGTTGCTCACATGGTGCTAAGCAGACTTCAGTAGTACCTTAGAGGTTGCCCCGAAATGACCTGGAAGACTTATTACCCCCACACACCGACACCCCCACCACAGAAAACACACACACACACACACACATCAATCTAAATCATCAGCCCCCTACTCTCACACTCCCCCTCTTTCCGGGAGTGTGTGAAACCACAAAGAGCTTTGGTGAGCTGCCCGAAAGCTTTTGGCTCTTCAAGACTGGACGACAAGGTGGTGGGTGTACATTTGTGTGCTATCATCGAGATGTGTATGTGTGTGCACGTGTTGTGAGGACATGCGGGGGCAGCTGGTTGAGGCCCTCAGAGCCAAAAAGAGAGAGCGAGAGGAGTAGAATGAAAGAGGTAGAGAGAGAGAGAGGGAGAGGGAGAGAGAGGGAGAGAGAGAGAGAGAGAGAGAGAGAGAGAGAGAGAGAGAGAGGAGTGGGAGCGGCCACCTCTGGCTGTTCCACTGAGCTGGTTTGAATTAGGAACCCCCGCTGGGATCCAAGCCTGTACTTCCTGTCGGGGGTTTCAGTTCGTGTGTGTGCGCAAGGGGTGGGAGGGGTGGAGGAAAGATGAACGAGGGGGGGGGGCAGAGAGTGAGAGGCGGAGGCCTGCCGCTTGCCGGCAGCTGCCCATCCGTTTGTGGGGACTCTCCCTACAATGAAGTCCAGATGCATCAAACAAAAAAAAAATCCCCCCGCCGCCTACTCTTTTCCTCTGTGACCTTGCGAAGGGCTTTTTTAGCTTGGAGTGTGTCCGAGTGTAAAGCTGTAAAGGCGAGGGTGCAGCTGCCTGTGACCTGTGGACGACCCCGAGAGGACAAGACACACAGGGTTTAAAGGATGAACGAGCCGACGGCTCCTCTTACCCCAGAAAGAACAAACTATCTGATTAGCAAAGAGATTTTCTCTTGAGTTTGATTTGGGATTTAATTTTCCATTCCTCAAAAATGGCCACCGTGGATGTTTTAATAACTCAGAGCCTCAGTCATCTGTTTCATGTAGCCAAATCTTTAAGATGGGGACTGTCCCAGAAACAGAGACAACAGTAGAGAAATCAGACTCAACTGTCATCACCTCTTAACTTTGCTTTCAGTAGAAGTCCAGGCTGTAACGAAACACAGCCCCCTAGAGGCCAAGACTGGCAGCACATTGTAACCTCGTGTTCCACAAGTAAAAAAACAACCGCCTCGTTTGCAGAACAGTGTTGTGTGTGAGAGAAAAGTACACATGAGGAGTGACTCACCTTTGATTTTGAACCCTCCATCATCATCATCTGATTCACTGTCAGACTCAAACAGATCCTTGAACTCCTTCTTGTCCTCCGCTTTCTTCTCTTGAATCTTCTTCCGTTTGATCTCAGGGAGGTCCAGATCCTCCATCTTTAATAAAACAGTCAACAGGGTCAAAACACAAGCCTGTCCTGATGACACTGATGATCTTAAGATAATTTTTCACGACAGAGCATGAGTTTTTCATGATTTAAGTGAAGGAGCAAGTCTTGTTGGATATTTACCCTTTCTTTGCCAGAGATCTCCAGCTGGATCTCCTTCTCCCTCAGTTTCTTCCACTGGCTGTAGTACCTACTGAGAGGAGTCCCCTCCTCCTGGACCTGCTTCTCCCAGGCCGCCTGACAGAGAACATGGTGATCAAAATCTTTGCTGAAGAATGTATATAAAAAGGTGTGGGTGGTATATAATATTAAAAAGGTAGAACCAGATCAATGCCTAAGCTTGTGGATGAACATAAATGTCCAAGGTCGTAGTTTGTTTTTTTTAAATATCTGTTGAGAGAGGCCTTTTAGCAGGTTCATTCAGGCTCTAGATTATCTTACTATAAGTGGCTTTCTACCACAACTTCACATCCATTGACCAGGAGAAAGAGATGGACAGACAAGACAGTGATGAGAGTCAGAAGATGTGGAAAACAGACAGATTGAAGAGGCCTGAAAGCGGAGACCAGCGGATCTTCTCCAGCCTTCCCCTGAAGGTATTTGTGGATGATATTGATTAGGCCCAATCACATTATCTGACCAACAAATCCAATAGAGTGAACAGACCACGGCCTCCTGCTCCCGTTAGCTTAACACATTTACCAGTTTGCTGCGTCGCTGTTAAGATGGGTGACATGTACGCCCCCAAAAAAGACTGAATAAGAAAATGAAAATGGAAAAGCTACTTCTGAACTCAGCCAAGACTGAGACAAACAAAACAAAATATTTCCACAGGAGAGAACGACAAGAGACCCCAGTGCGACCTGGATGGAGGCAGGGCATCATTAATTAGGTGAGCTCTCAGTTTGGGTGACATGTCAGTGGGGGGCTGGTGGCCAGAGGGGGGCCGTGGCCTTTTCCACAGCAGCAGCAGGGCTGTCCCCTCTCCTTCGCCTGCGGTGACACCTCTACTGCTGCCACGATGCCAGGGAGTGGATGCCATGGCGACAGCCTCCGCTGAGCAGAGAGCCGTGGCGACAGGGGCTGGCGCTGCCGCAGTGCCGTGCTGTCTGTCGGTTGTATTTTGTTAACACACACACACACACACACGTATACACTCACACTCACACAGTTCCACGTGTGTACACACACATTTTCTCATCAGCTAAATTACACAAAGACCATGCTCTTTAATTTCATCCTTAAACGCTCTTTAATATTAATCAGCAGAACACGTCAAGACTCTCAGTGGCAGCAAAGCCACATGAAAATGTGTGTGTGGACAGGTAGCATAACATGAGAGCACAGACACACAGACACACACTAATGGCTACTCATTAAGGCAGAGGCGCCTCTGGTTCAAAAGCCCATAAGAGCTTGCAATAACCACACAGCCATTCTCAACCAGGCTGAGAGTTTACACAGGGAAGTGTCCTCCATTATCAGTTGCTGCATGTCGGTCAGGACTGTCATGGCCTGCAGCCTCTACTTTAACTGGACCAGAGCCCACAAGAAAAGTTTATAGTCAACCAGAGGAAAGTTTTTCATTATCATTGTCCTGCAACTGGAACTCTACTCTCTTTAGATGCTTCTTGAGAACATTCAAATAAAACACCACCTACACGTTAGAGCTGAGTGAAACAGACATGAGTAATCTAGATGATTAAAATTTAAAGAATCCTGCTGTTGCTGTGGAAACAACTGTTACATTTAACAGAAAACATTGACTCAAACTTGAACCAACTATTAGCAATTTCCAAGTCAAGTGGATAGAGTTGTCTAATTGTTGAGCATCGTCATTTACTGTGAACACCCAACAAACCCACCACAGCAGCTGGCACCATCTCACCAAGAGCTGGCAAAGTGACAACGACCGACTCCTCATTAGGTCTGATTTATGTATTAGTAAGAGGGATTAATGGATAGACATCCCAGACTAATTAATTTCCTATTTCAATTTTGTTGATAGTCTTGTGCTTCCGTTGGCACTGAATATATTTATGTTACATTTAATGTCAATTTGAGGTCTCACCTGCACCTGAGTAAATCAATACTTTTTAGATTAAATTTTAAGGGACTCTTTTACTCAAAGTAACTGAATTTATTTCAAATGAAATGGTTCAAACCAGGGTTCCGTATTCAATTAAATAGTAAAAACATTTCAACTTTTTTGACCTGTAGGACTAAACTGAGTAGGAAAAGCAATAAAACCGATAGTCATACAAGAAACAAAATGCAAAATCCTAAAGTATAGTTCATAGTAACTAGTACTTTTCAGGGTTGTAATTAATTTTTAATTTAATCACTAATTATTAAAGTTTTTTACTGGTGGGACACTCCATATATTGCCGTATTGCTGACATTTTGCTTACGGCTAACGTTACTATTTACGGGAAGTCGATTCTTCTTCGTTGCTCTAAAACAGTAGTTGACAGTGGCCACACAGCACAACTTCCTGTGTAAGCTACTATTTTGGAGCAGCGAAGAAGAACTGATTTCCAAGAAAACTGCCAGTTTATCCAAGTGTGAAACTATAAAGTTTATCAAAAGACTTGTGTACTCGCCCATACCGGATACCATATTTTAGACAGTGGCAGAGGCATTTCTGATACTGGTACCTGTTATTGGAAAAACTGTAACTATAACCAACCAGATATTAAATCTCTAGCCAACGATACAAAACTGACTTCCATAATCACAAAACAGTTGAATACATTCAAATTTCAGGAGTCAACTAAAAAACATTTGACTCTGCAACGACCGAGCCATAAACGACTGTGCTGTGGTTTTTGTGTTACCTTTCTGTTTAAAGAACAGGTGATGTTATGTGACGTCAGCTATCCATTTATAACTCCAACAACTTCTACATTTTAACACTACTACTACTATTATTACATCTTGTTTTAAATCACCTGTATGTGTTTTGATGGACCTGAATACAACTTACAATTCAATTGGTCAAAAGCCATTTGAAAGTTTACAAAAACTAATATTAGGAAACAGAAGAGCCAAACTGACGAGGAAGAGGTCAAATAAGAACTCTGGAAAGGCAGCCTGTAAATTCAGGACAACACAGACAACCCCTCCCTCCCTCCCTCCCTCCCTCCACCTCTCACTCTCTCTCTCTCTCTCTCAAACACGCACACACACACACTCTCTTACCACAGCGGTGGCATCGGCCACTCCGAAGGCGGCCTTCTGTCTCCGTCCTGTGATGTGGCTGCTGTTCTCCTGTACCTTCTCCAGCAGCTGGCGCACCGGCTTGCAGTAATTGGCCACTTTGCATTCCTTCAGGAACGCTTTCAGCTGCAGGGACATGGAGGGGGAGTATGAGAAAGAAGGAACCAGTGTAAAGGATCATCCAGTCCGCCCATACGGTGTATTCAGGGACAGCAGAGGAGGGTTTGTGGTTGTTTCCCCTGAGGGGAGCAGATTCTGCCTGGCAAGACGTGAACCAGATCCTGAATCATCTATTCAGAGAAGAATTTAAACTCTGGGAATGTCACTACTTCTTTATGAGTTTGTAACACCTGAGTGTGTCCTGTAAGATTTTGTGGATATGAGGAGATAAAGTTGCTTCATTTCACAGACCCAGGTCACTCAAGTCCATTCCAGCATCAGTTCAAAGGTTGTGTTACCTGAATGATGGTGGGGAGGGCGAGCTCTGGGAAGCCAATGGTGAAGGCCTGAGTGTGGAAGTGTTCCAGTATCAGGTCATACAGCTGGTCGATCAGTCCCTCCTAAAGAGTCACAAACAATATTCACACTTGTAACACGTGTAAAACGTCACGTCATCATTGTCCTCTTTGGTGTGCAACTACATTCAGTGAAACATGACTTGTTACAAAAGGTACTGTGATGACAGCTTGGCCGAGCCTGTTGGTGGACGTCTGAATCTCTGCCCACATCTCTGACTTGTGCAGCAATTCAAATAGATCTGTGGTGTGACGCTCACTGATGACCGTTTCCAGCAGATAGAGAAGCAATCCAGAGTTTTTTAGGCAGAATTAACAATGGGATGTCATTTTCCTACATAACTACAGTCATGAAAAATTGCATCAGAAAAATGGTGACGATTGACACAGCTGTGCAAGTCTCTTTACGTCCATGAACAGAATTAACACCTCTTAAAATCAACAAAAATAGTTAAGCGCTTCTTGCAAATGCAGCGTCCACATCAAAAGGCGTTGGATACGCAACTCGCTGCTGACTGCACAGAGCAAAAATAAAATAACTCTCTCTTCCAAATGGAAATCAGCTAACATGGTGTCAGACTGAATGACTGAGGAGAAATGAAATTCCAATTCAGTCTGATTGTCAGGCTAAGCTTAGCCTAGCAGTCTGTCACCTCTGGCTTATAAACAGAGAGGATTCACAGTTTACGCGGAGAGCCATTCGATAGGAAACAACATGGCAAGTCAACATGCTACACAAAGAGAAGCAGCACAGATTCAAATATTTACCTTCAGCAGCTTAGAGCCAGCCTGTAAAACCTTTGCTTATTAGTGGCCACAAGTGATACTAACACGGTAATGGCACTTTGAATTGTGACTATTGCTTAGCCTTTAGTCATCCATGTTGTATTAACTGTCAACAAACTCTACATTAATATGGAAAAACCTGAGTGCTTCCTGCTACAAGTAGTTACCTTTTAAAGTGGTGCCTGTCAGTTAAGGATGGCCCTTAAAAGTTGAATCATACTTGCATCAGGTTGTATTATGTATAGTATGTACTATGGCTCTTTAAACAATTAAACAATGTCTGACAAAGACTGATTTACATGTAATTTCAAAATGCAACTCATGTGAACACATCATCTGCAGTACAAGAAGCTTAGTTGCCTCTCTTTGTGAAAATGAAAACCGTTCAATAAGCGTTTCCCATCAATCAGATCAGTGTTTGTTGAGTTATGTCTGTTGTGAGTCTACGAGGCGGGGGTTCGTGGCAGCTGCCCAGGTGACAGGAGTGAAAACAGCCCTAGTGAGCGGAGTGAGGAGGATAATCCCAGAAGGCCGTGCTACAATCCTCTTGGCTCCAGTGCTGAGCGTGGTGACTCCGGGCCAGTTTTAGAGCCCTGACAAGGGGCTTTCAGTGCTGCCCTCAATCCCCTCATGCTCACATGCAGGCTAACACACACAGTGTCGGGGAGCAACATGGAAATAACATTAACTAAGACCTGAAACACTCATCTGATCAGCTGCTGCTCCTTCTTGGTGCAACAAAGACCCGAAGCACAGATACAAGCAGCAGCACACAGCGGATACTCTTTCCCTATAAGAAAGAAAAATCTGTCCTACACTATCTAGTGGTGGATCCACAACAGTAACACATACCTTGTAGGCTTTCTCCATCAGGTTGACTTTGCTAAGCTTCAGGATGACTGCAAAGTTGATGGGTTTCTTGCTCATTCGGCCTGGTTTCTTGTTGAAGTCCACTTGTTGGAAGATCTAGAAAGGAAAAGCAGAAACCAGCCAGAATTAATTTGGACCCAAATAAAATGATAAGATTTATTGGTACAATGCATATCATATTCAGAGAACGGAATAATAACCTAAAGCAAATACAAAACATGGGCAAGATTTTACCTGATAACCTTTATTTACTTTTTATTTATTTATTTATTTTTATTGTTCTTCATTATTAGTGATTGCGTATTCTTTTGGTTTGTATGTTTTCACACTCCTCATTGTCCACCAATTATTCTTTCAAGACAAACCTGATACTGAAGGAATGTACTGGAAAGGTGAGGCTGACGGCTGACAAAAGGTCAAAACCTGTTGGTAAGTAATAAGCTATGAAACAAAGTATTTTGTCATAACTCCCGTACATGTAGGGTTTGCCTTTTCATACATCTAATAAATCTCTTCCTTCTCATTTCCAGGAGACACCACACTTTCATAAGTTCAACATGAGGAACCAAGCACAGCTTAAGTATATATGTATTCAGCTATAATGACATTAGACAATAATCATTCTGCGCTGTTCGTTTTACATGCAGTGGTGTTAGAGAAATTACACATTTCTATCTTAGTCTCTGAAAGTACATTCTAGCCAGCGTGTGGGCTTTTTGTCTACAAGCTTTAGCTTTCACATCTGCCCACAGTGCACAAGTGAATTTCTGTCTTGTATTTGTATATCAAGCTATTTCTGACACCACGTATCTCAGTGTATTTCTGTGTGTTAGTGTGTGCGTGTATGTGTGTGCTTGTGTGGTCGTTAATGTGCTCAGTGTGCGAAGCAGAGCAACGCTCCTGGCCAGTGCTGTCTGTACAAACATAGGATGTGGTGGCGGTCTGCGGGGGAGCCAGGGGGAAGTGGGAAGGCATGGGCCAACCCTGATGCATGCACATGCGCGCGCTCACACACACACACACGATTTCTCACACACTCACACACACGCGCACGCGCACGCACACACACACACACACACAGCTACTGAAGCAGGAAGCTCCAAATCATACACCCCCCTCGGAGATGCGAGAACACACACAGGCAGACACACACAGGAGGAAGGGGCTGCTTCTGCTGCTCTAATTAAAACAGTAGCAACGTACCTCAGCCTGCCTTTAACAAGAGGAACAGTAAAGGAGAAAAAACACAGGAAATATCGTGCGTCACAAATAAATACGGCTTGCTGTTGGGGGTTGGGGGCTCTGAGTGTGTGTGCAGGGAAAAAGAGGTGGGGAGTGGGCCATAGGCAGAGAGGATGTGGTCTGCACAGCGTGTTAGGACCAGCGTGTAAACCACAACTGTGTCTTTATCGAGTTGGTCAAACTGCTTCACGCGCACACACACACTGACCACTCCCAGTGGGCCAAGCTAGTCGCTGTCGCTAGCACACTGTTATCCTCCGGCAAACCACAACATCGCCCAGCACACCACGCAGAAGCACTGACACGCATTCGCACACAAACGACACACAAACACCACACGGTCACGTGCTTAACACCTGACCCAGAGAAATGTTGTCAGTTGGTGACCTGCGATCAGTCTGATAACAAAGGTGTGTCTCTCTCTCTCTCTCTCACACACACACTCACAGAGAGAGAAAGAGAGTTCTACCCTTCGATGTGTTTCCTCCTGAGCTCCTTCAGTTGTGGCCGTTGAGACCAAAATGCATCTCATACGCCACTGATGTTTTTCCACAGCAAACCACCGACGGAACATTTCATCACATCTACCTTTACATTGTTTCCATTAGTGACAAAGACAACAACTGACTGCTGTTTACTCTGCATAATTTCAAAGTATTTGAGCTCTTCAGGCATGTATGTTGTACTGGTGTATGAAAAACTACACAGCAGACTGCTGGAAACCTGACCATCCCCTCAGCTCGTCTCAGGCTGCTGTGATCCTGTCGGACAGACATGGTGGCTCCTGGAGACTACGTGAAGCCTTACCTCCAAGAGGAAAGGCAGCACAGGTACAAATGTGTTGGTGCTGCTCGACAGCAGGGTGAGGGCTCTGCAACAGTGCATCCTCAGGGGGTAATATCTTGATGTGGGCACCAATCTGTTCACACAGAGGAAACAGTGGTCAATGTCTCCACCTGCTGTTGGTGAAATGTACAGGACCTGATATTATGTTATAATGCATGTAAAAATCAATGCCAGACAGCAGCTTCAAGTTTCTGTGCCACTGCGATTACTGAAGGTGAGAAATAATCAACAAATGACTCATTAGACTTTTGAGTGATGACACCACCACTCCAAAAATTCAGCTATGTGAAGCATTGTCCAATATTACAGTTTAAAAACAAAGTGTGCGCATCAGTGTTTCTGTTTGTACTGTACATCAGGTGACAAATAAATAACTGATCAATATGTAGATCATGTCCATTGCTTCACATTGCATCAAACAAATGATAACCCTCAGTGACTCAGGTCAGAGTCAGTGATTATACAGTACAATACAGAGAGCGCCAGTTAAGAGACAGACAGGGAAACTGAAAACTTTTTTCAATTTGATATATATAAATCTACGTAATTAATGGGAAACACTGGTGCATACAAACTCACACAATGTAGTTACCACAGCACAATGACAAAGATACCAGAGTCTGGATATTTCACAGTTAGACAATAAACTTAAAATCATTTCTAACAAATATAGAACTTATGATGTACTATTCCTCAGTACTGATATATCTGTTCAATTTCATTATTCACTCTCACCCTACAATTTTCAGCACCACTGCAGTCTTCTGTGCATAATCTTGGCTTATTTATCACTTTCTGCCAGCAGTCATTCTGTCACTCAACCAGTATTGTCACAGCAGGAGACTCTTTGTTCTCAGTTCTGCTCAGTTCATTTGCTGCAGTGAGATTATGTTGATGTGTAAAAGTTACAGCTGATACTAAGTGGGTGTTCAGACCCAAAGGCCCTGCATTTAAAAAAGTGTTGATTGGGTGCTGGTACTGGTGGGGTGATGAGCTGATCTGGCTAACAGATCCATGAGTTTAAGGTTTATCAGACACTAACACAGCAGATCTTTTTTGTCCTGTTTGTGGGGAATGTTGCAAGGAAGAAAAAAAAAAAAACTGTTATGACTAAAAATGATTAATTTTCTAATTTGGCAAGTGCTGATAATTTCTTAAGAGCTGAGACAACAGGCTGATTAATCAGTTACATGATTGACAAAATTGCTTAAGTAATTATTTAAGCAAAAATGCAAAAACATTTTTTGAAAAACTGGATTGCTCCAGTTTTTCAAATGTGATGATTTGTTGCTTTACATTAAACCAAATATGTTTGGGTTTAGAACTGAGGCAGTTTGAATATTTTACACAATTTTCTGACATTTTATAAGAGAAACTATTAATTGATTAGTTGAGAAAAAAGGGTCATTAGCTTCATCAATAATGAAAACATAAAAACATGTAAATGTTATATACTCACTTGATGGTGCCGATTATGACCTGGCAGAGTGGATAGATGAGAGGTTGTAGAACATCACTGGGGTGCAAGGTGCTGAGGACGCGACACCACAGGTACAGACAGTGGATATACTGCCAGTTATACACCGACTGATATGTTTCCTACAGAACACACACAAGCAGAGTTTTGTCTTATTACAAGGGTTTAAAATTAGCCCAAATAAACCGGAAGAACTCAACTGTGAATGTTCATTCAACTACGCGTTCATTTTTGCAATGTGCTGCGCTTTGAGGACAACAGACAAGCAAAAAAGTCAACATCATCATGCTAACTGGCTCGCATTTGGTTCAAATGAATGGTCAACATAAACACTTAATGCATGGAGGGCAGATTTGAAAGAGGGCATTTCAAGGAATAACTGGACCGTAGCCTGTAAGGAGGCTCAGATGCAAACAGCCAACACCAACTTAAAGTTATTTCAATATAACTGGTTGATGCAGACTTACATAATCCCTGCCAAACTGAATAAATATAATAGTAATATACCTGACATATGCTTTAAATGTAATGAGGTTCAAGGAACATCCATACATTGTATTTGGGAGTGTCACAAAATAAAGCAATCAAGATCATTTTGTCTGAAAAATCCACTAGACTCCAAGATGGTAGTGTTTGACTTGTATCCTACTAATCTCACTTTGGTGGATTTTGGTAAACTGCAGGCAAAACGCATGATAGCTCTCAACAGGAAGAACATGGCGCAGTGTAGGCCCATGGAAAGAATAACATGTACCTTGAAAATCAAATTGGATGCTTGGCAGGAAATTTGGAAACCATTTAATGATTTTATATAGCAAAATAGTATATATACAGTACTGTGCAAAAGTTTTATGTTTGGGGTCGTTGTCCTGCTGCAGAATAAATTTGGGGTCAATCATACGCCTCCCTGATGGTACTGCATGATGGATAAGTATCTGCCTGTATTTCTCAGCACTGAGGACACCATTAATCCTGACCAAATCTCCAACTGAATTTGCAGAAATGCAGCCCCAAACTTGCAAGGAACCTCCACCATGCTTCACTGTTGCCTGCAGACACTCATTATTGTTCCACTCTCCAGCCCTTCAGCGAACAAACTGCCTTCTGCTACAGCCAAATATTTCAAATTTTGACTCCTCAGTCCAGAGCACCTGCTGCCATTTTTCTGCACCCCAGTTCCTATGTTTCCGTGCGTAGTTGAGCCGCTTGGCCTTGTTTCCATGTCGGAGGTATGGCTTTTTGGCTGCAACTCTTCCATGAAGACCACGTCTGGCCAGACTTCTCCGGACAGTAGATGGGTGTACCTGGGTCCCACTGGTTTCTGCCAGTTCTGAGCTGATGGCACTGCTGGACATCTTCCGATTTCGAAGGGAAATAAGCTTGATGTGTTTTTCATCTGCTGCACTAAGTTTCCTTGGCCGACCACTGCGATCCTCAACGTTGCCCGTTTCTTTGTGCTTCTTGAAAAGAGCTTGAACAGCACATCTTGGGTCTTGTTGCTGTGCTCAGTCTTGCCATGGTGTATGACCTGTGACATGAAACTGTCTTCCACAGCCTCACCTTGGTAGCAGAGTTTGGCTGCTCCTCACCCAGGTTTAAGCCTCCTACACAGCTGTTTCTGTTTCAGTTAATGACTGTGTTTCAACCTACATGTGAAATTGATGATCATTAGCACCTGTTTGGTATAATTGGTTGATCATACACCTGGCTATGATCCTACAAAATTCCTGACTTTGTGCAAGTGTACCTATAAGAATTGATGCTGGTTTGAAGGCAAAGGGTAGTAACACCAAATATTGATTTGATTTAGATTTTCCTTTTGTTTGCTCACTTTGCATTTTGTAAATTGATAAAAATAAACAATTATTATTTATATTTTTGAAAGCATTCTTAGTTTACAGCATTTTTTCACACCTGCCTAAAACTTTTGCACAGTTCTGTGTTATATATATATATATATGATATAGGAGAGCTTCTGCGTGAGGACTCAGGATAAGACACACATCAGAATAGTGGTAAACCCCAGAAGTGGATAGACATATTTTAAAATGTATTGCAACGGCTGTTTATGTTCTGTGTTGATTGGTTTTAAACACAAGGGAGAGAGAGAACGAGTATGTGTTTTGTTTTTTTGGGGGGGTGGTGGTGGTGTGGGGGGTTGTATATTCTGTAATATGTTGCATAATGCTAATGGCTGTAAAATAAAATGAAATCTCAATAAAGACATTGCTAAAAAAAAAAAAACAACATCATGCTGGTGTGTGTCAACATTAACATACTAGAGAGTAGCTTTTTGCTCTTTTTATCTGTAGCAGCTAAGTGAATACATTAGATTTTAATGTAATGTGTTTAAATCAGTGTCCATAAAAGAATAATAATCACTATCATATCATTCATCATAAAATGGCAAAACAGTCTTCCTATACTTGTACAGGTTCCATCCAGGAGAGCATTTCAAATCTATAAACCAACCTTTTTCTTCATGGTCATGGCGTTTCTGAGGTGGATGGCCAGCTGTCGGATGTAGATGAAGGCGTGCTGATAGGTGGCCTGTGTGTCCAGGGAGTACATCTCCGTTAGCGTTCGCTGCATGAAGTTGATCATGGGCAGCGCATTGGGAGATGTGAACTTACAGTTTTGTACGTAGGAAATGTACATTTGCTGCAAAGAGAAAGAAAAACACCATGAGCAGAAGAGCTCAAAATACAGAAGTGAACACAACTTGGCACTGGTTATAAAGGCTTGATATGGTTTTAAGTGTTTGTAATGAACACCAAATAAAGAGGAATTCTAAAAGACAGACGTTTAACACTCTGTTTTTGTGTCAGTAATTTTTTAAGGCAAGTACTATCTGCAAAGTCCCTGTTCTAGTCTATTTTACATCCAGGTTTCTATGTCCGCCTCTTGCTGCGTTACTCTGCATTTAGCTCACCTTGAGAATAGGGTTAAGATATGTTTCCTGCTTGTGTCGGCAGATTTTGTTGAGGGCCAGGAAGGCGAGAACACGACTCGTTTCTTCCCCTGTGCTCCACTGTTTCAGCAGTTGCTATATACAAAGATGTAAGGGAAAGAAAAATAAAGCCACATTAAAAGACTATTGTATATCCCAAAGCGTCACATTCCACGCCTTCCTATGGTGACTTGTGTCCTACCTTAACCAGGTGCCGACACTGTTTGGGTAGACAGAGGTAATAAGGTATGAGCTGGTTGGCGTGCCGCAGGACAGCGCTGATGACTGTAGCCTCTGTTAGACACGATAATAGCTACAGGTGAAGAGGGAGACGACACAAGTGTTAGGAGAAAAAACAAGGGAACAACACAGTGATGTTTTCAGGACGCAAATGAAGAAGAGGAAAAAAATGTCACTGCAGAAATACAGTACAACTCTTTGTTGTAAATGAATTGTTCTGTTTTCAAAACCAATAAAACACATCTATGTAACATCTCTGACGCAGAGGAAAGACCTGAAGTGAACAGCAAAACAAACCTGAACTACTCCACTGAGATACATCTTGATGTCGATCTGATTCTTCTGCCATTTTGGACTAGACGACGGGAGCACTAGCCTGAGAGCAAAACAGAATGAGAAGTGACCAACCTTTCCACCGCTACATTTACTGTCAACAGATCAGAGATACAACATCCTCTTTGTACTTTTTCTGGTCTTTATCTGGCTTTAGGTTGAGCATCCTCTGCAGGGCCACGTAAACATCTCTGATGCAGAACAGGACCAAAGCGTTGAACACTGCAGACCAGACAGAAAAAGGATTATTTATGCATATTTACAAGGAGCGAAGCATGTTGTGTTCTATCATACAAAAAATATTGCATACAATATAATAATGCTTGCTATACAATAATGTGAGAAATCAAACAATGCATCAATCCAGTAAGGTATCATAAGGTAGAAGAAAAGGACTCCAAATAGACACAAAATAAAATGTCAGGTGTTGTAGCTGCTTTAGTATCTAAAACTTTCTAACAATAAGCCGTTCTTACAGAAGACATGTTGACACGTCACAGTAGGAAAAGCACAACGTATCAATAATAAAATTAATGTTGTCACGGCTTAATGGAGCACTTGAGTGAAACAGAACCACAGTTCAATCAATGTTACTAGACACACCTGTGTGACAAGTCGTCGTATCTGCAGTGAAAAAATCCTGCACCCAGCCCAACTTGAAATATCTCACCACACCCAAATAAGGGTTTAGCAATATGACTACTAGGGCTGCACGATGTGCAAAAAAAATAAAAAAAAATAAAAAATAAAATCATATTATGATTATTTTGGCACATATTGCGATTGTGTTTACAGTTGGAATGGTAGATATGCATTTTATTTTCAAAAAAAATAAAATGAATTTAATCATTTAATTTTTGTACCAAACAAACGTCTGGAGAATATAATTTGTAGGCCAGGGTGTCTCTGTAGCACCACAACACTTGTGGTGTTAACAATGCACAACAATGTGACCAAAAAAAAAAAAAAAAGCTCCTGTGATTTGGATATTGCAGTTGGCCTTATAGTTATTTTGATTATATTTTGATTAATTGTGCAGCCCTAATGACTACAATACTGTATGTGTAATATCAGTTATTCTGGTTATTGGATATGTGTATAAATGTCAATATTGTGCAGCCACACCATAAATGAAAGCCATTATGGTTAACATTTACAGTAAATTTGTCCCCAGGTTGTTTGATGCGATACTGACAGTATTGAAGGAATACACTGCGAAACACTGTCAAGTTGTGTTCAAATATTCAATTTAGATTTTCAACTGCAACACTCAGCAATAATTATAACAATGTCATATTTCCATGATGATGGTACAGCTTGACTACACATATCAGCACTTACAGGTAAACATGGAGTCCTACCTGAGCTGTCAGCCACTTTGTATCGACACTGTCCCCCTCCTTCACCCTTTGTTGTAGCCACAGCTGCCTTAAAGGCCTGGGTGACTTCTCTGAAGAGACGAGGTGTGGGCTCCTGCTTCATAGCAGCTCTCCAGTTTTCAATCATTTTGTCTGTGACTTTGATGGTCTCCACTGATTTCTTGGATATTTTCGAACCTTTCTGTCCATCCTCATCATCTTCACCATCCTCACCAGAGCTAGCCTCCTACATGTAAAACATGCCAGTATGAAGATCTCTGCTTTCCATAATCAACTTTAACATGCACGCATGCACACACACACAAGCAGCAGGCCTACCTCCAGTGTGGATGGCAATCTGTGGTACTTTTTCTCATCCTCATCCTCATTCTCAGAGCTGTCTGTGTCCTCAAAGTTTAGGAGCTTTTGGTCGTTCTCTTGCAGAAACTTGTAAAACTCTGGATCTTTATTCTTTAACCTGGACAGCTGCTCCTTGTGTTCAGAGGCCTTTCCTTTCTTCGTATCGTCACTATAGAGAAAAATAACCACAAAAAAACAAAAGAGATGCTTGAGGGGACATGATGATGTTAGTACCATCACAACTGTGATACATTATAAGGGACTTACGTGTTGGGAGCTGCAGAGTTCAAATCTTTCTTCTTGTTCTTTTTCTTGACTTCATTCTGTTTGGGAGCCTCTTCTTCAGATTCACCGTCAGAGTCAAAACCTGACAGCAGGAACTCATCCACACTGAGCTCTTCCAGTTTCCTACACGACAGACAAATGTACAATCACTGAAATAAGTTGGCCAACATGTGGGGAGGTAACTTACATATGATGCACGGTCTACATAGTTTCTACTGTCAATTGTAACGTTTCGAGGTTTAGTAGTCATTTAGCTAGCCAAGTTTCATATTCATGTACAGTACATTTTCAACCAAGAGAAAAAAGACTGAAGACTGATGTAAGCTAACTGCTAACAAGAAGCCCTATGACTACGCTAGCGAGAGCAGCATGGGTAGCTAAGACTGTCGCACACTATGTTAGCTAACTAAACCGAGTCTATCAAACGCCACTAATTCTCCCACTGCATTGACAACACTTACACTTATAAAATCAAAACAAATTTGCCCTTAAAAATCGCAATAAACGACACATTTTAAAGGAAATATCTACGTACCTTTTCTGTTTCCCTGCCATGCTGGATCCAAAACGTGACAACTTCAATACCCACAATGCCTCGGTGCAAAACGGAGGAATTGGTTTTATGGTTCACAGGTAGTGAGCCCCGTAAGCTATTTGCGTTTACAAACGTGATAAAATAATCATGGTTGTTTTGGTCCAACGCTGCAGGTATTGTTTTTTGGCCTTTGATAATAAATGAAAGCATTGAATTTATTCATCATAAAAGTAATCAAATCAAATTGAAAAAAATAAGACGGCGAGCACACCAACCTCGAATTTTCACTGTCAAAGCTGTGCGTACAAGAACAAGCAGTGTTTTGATGCTACACGTGAGGTTTTAATTAAATGCTCAGCTTCACCGCACACCCACAGAGGAGAAATTCTCCTGTTTATGTTTTCGTCCGTTACGTTGCACACCTACAAAGCTGGGCAAGCTTACAGACCGGAAGAAATCACTGCTATCACATCAACACCGACGACGGTTGCTGGTGAGTGCTGCTGGATTTAATTCGGCTGTCAGGCAGAGCTATCGTTAGCTAATCCAGTTAGCTCATACATAGACAAAAAACAATAAATTGTTATTTAACCAGCCGTGATTCAAAAGTCTGTTTTATTTAAACAGAAGAATGACAAATACACTTATATACTGCCCTCAAAAAAGGAAAAGAGTATTGGGATCTATACATTATTGAATAGTGAGTTTATGAGTCAGTTGCCGTTTGTTTGATTTTTATGTACAGGCCAACAGAAGCAGGTGGTGGTTCAGGTTCTGACCAATCATGCTGCTTCTAAGCAAAACCCCGCCTTTCGCGGTAGCACAGATGTCTATATCGAACGCACTTCCGTACTCTATTCAGACAAAAAGGAGCAGTTAAGGTCGTTTGTGTCCCGTGAAGTATTAAACGAACATCCATTGTTAACAGTTTACAGTTGTGCTTAAGAAATAACTTCCTGCGTGGGGTAAGGTGCGGCTCTTCCTTCAAACGGCATCATATTTCAACAACATGAGCAGCGTGGCTCCTTTCACCTCTGGCAGTTTGGGCTCCACCTTAACAAACCGATGTCAGCTTTCATGCAGTTTTTTTTTTTTTGCATTGACGTCAACCGCATACAGCACAAAACAGAGGCTTTCTCTATATTTCGTATGCTTGAGTCAGAATATGGACAGATAGCCAAATACTGGTACCAGATTTAAACCAATCTGACTGCGACAGCTGTTGATTTATCTGCCATCACTTTGGAGAAGACACTGTTTCCAAGGATAACCGCGACACAACCACCGGTAAAGAAATTACACATTCATTCTCTGTATTGCTGCCGCTGCAGCTGATAGCTGCTGTTATTCAAAATAGATGGAGTGGGGGTTGGGGTTTCTCCAGTTCACATATGGAGGCTGATATATGAACAGAAACATCCTTCTGCCTTAAGAAGACTACAGTGCAACATTTGTGTACCCAACAAGCTTGTGCATGTTTGTTCAAGTAGCCACTGTAGCTTTGTGTGGATGACAGCCAAGATTTTGAGCCAGAGAGGGGAGAGAGGATTTTAAGAGACAAGCCCGAGATGAACAGGACAAGTGCTTCACTCTGTCAGTTTTGACTGTGGCAATTGTGTTGCCACGTCTGTCCCAACCTCCTGTGTATCAGTGTCTCAATTTGCAGCAATGTCTCATGTTATTTCCTTGTCCACGAGAGCAGATGTTTTCCTCCTAGAGGAACATGGTGTGTTTTTGTTGTCTGTTGTGTTTTGGAAAATGGGACCCAAAGCTGGTCGCCAAGCAGCTGTGGTGACATTTGAGATGGTCCTCAGTGGGACAGGGCAGAGTATTTAGTTGAAAGAGTGCCTCTGAACAGATGACAACATTATTACAATGCACTGATCCCCAGTCTATTTGACTCTAGAGACATGGGGAACTTTACTTTATCAGAATCAATAATGTGTTGTTCTGTTGCATTTCTTGGACTTCAGACTGATCATGGAATACTCTTATTGAGATTGTACTGCTTGTGTTATTGTCATAGAAACTACTCTTTACCTTTACATACATGAAAAAAAAGAAAAATGAAAATAAAGCACCACTGAAGGGTACGATTTATCCTCATCCCACTGTAGGATAAACTAACATGGCAGGCCATGTGGTAAGAAATAATAATTATATTTATTTAGCCAGTTAAGGGTATTTTACACATTATCTATGAAGGAGCTCTGGATCAGAGGAGCTTGGAGTACCTTCCTTCACACTTTTCTGCTCATTATCCTGTTCTTCTACCCTTGTAAGGGATCACTAAACCGAATGAAAACATTTTCTTCCTGAAGTCTGTTTCAGTCCTGTGATGTTTCTAATTTAGTTCTAGCTGGGTTTACCTCGTACAGTAGTTTGCCTTAGGGCATCCTAAATATTCGGCAGACAACAACTTCTCAGATGCCACGTGATGACCGTTATGCAACGTTCTGAAGTGTGTTCTCCATCCGAGAGCAGGGCAGCGGAGAGTACAAAGGAAAAGGCTAACTCAGGCTACATCCTTCCCTCCACCCACCCTGCCTTCCCGAGGCTGCAGCTGGGGTGAGGTGGGAGGGGGCTTATAGCTAATTCTGGTGCAATTAAACTTGCAAGTCAGGAGTCTTTGCAATTAGATAAACCAAGACAGTCCGCTGGATGAGAGGCCTGCATTGATTTGATTCCAGTTTAAGTAGTAATGTCCATCTTTTGACATTCTTTCTTTTGCTATAATGAGATTAATCAGTCTTGACACTTGATGTCAAATAATCAGGTCAGTCAACCTACTACACTTTGTAATGGTACTGATATTTCTGTCATGTTGTGGCCTTCCTGTCTAAGCTGTCAAGATAGATGCTATAGCAATAACAGTAGGTACATTGATTGCTCAGGGCACCTGTCATAACACCTGCATCCCTGCAGATAAACTAAGCTTTTGTAGGTGGAAGACTTCTCTGTTGACAAAAGACATTTTTATAGGACATTGATAATTGGTGTTAAATAACATTACACTAAAAACAGCAGTTTTCTGGGGGTTTCAGTTGCCCAGAGTGCGGCCCAGGCAAGAGCCCGTGACCGCCACATCAGGCACCATGATGGAAGGGGGCATGCAGCTGCTCAACCGTGATGGCCACAGCATCTCGCACAACTCGAAGCGCCACTACCACGACTCCTTCGTGTCCATGAACAGGATGCGACAGCGTGGCCTGCTGTGTGACATTGTGCTCCATGTCTCCAACAAAGAAATCAAGGCGCATAAAGTGGTGCTGGCATCCTGCAGCCCCTACTTCCACGCCATGTTTACCAGTAAGTTCAGTGCATGTTGTCTGATTTATTCCTGTACACGCCACCACTTCCACTTCACTCTTCATGCTTTCATCTCTGAAATCCATGAAGCCTAGCATGTTGCATGCCTCAGACATTTTAAGCTCTGACATCAAACTGCGCACCATTTCGCTCTGTTGCTCAAAGTTTGATGACACAACCACTTGTGTGCGCAGTGAACGTATCGCTACTTCCTTCTCCCTCTTCCTGTCTGGGACACAGGTGGTCAGATGAGGTGTGCTTTTGTCTCAGATTTCCTCCTGATTCTAGACCCTTGTCAGGGTACAATGTGTCTCCAGACAGTTGGTTGTCTGGCTGTGAGACTCTGCTGCTAGGCTTCCACTCGTCTGGCTCAGTCAGTAATTGGCCCATTTCAACAGAATCTGTTGATCTTTCATGACCATCTAAACAGTAAAATCACAGCTACCATGCAGATACTGTGTATGTGATTTCTTCAAACTAGATGAAACATTTGACTGCTCTGTCGATGTGAAACCCTCTGACCCACTGTTCTGCAGGAACACCCACGTTTGCACAAGAGAGTATAGGTTCAGAAATTTCAAAAACGTCCTCAGTTACAACAACTGATTAAATGGAAAGCAACAAATGAGATGTGCTGTGATATTTGGCAGCGGTGCTGTATACATTAGGAGCTGCCCTGTGCCAGCATGATTGAACTGTGAAGCAGTTATATTAGCCAGAGTTTAACTGGTTGTAACATAAAAATGTAACAGCTCTCATTCTGTGCGGTCATGCAGACGAGATGTCAGAGAGTCGACAGACCCACGTCACCCTTCATGACATCGACCCTCAGGCCTTGGAGCAGCTAGTCCAGTATGCCTACACAGCTGAGATTGTGGTCGGGGAAGGCAACGTGCAGGTATAGTACAAGAATCCAGGTTTATGGACAAAATTTTGAAATTAGACTTTTTGATAAAGCGCGAAAAGACACAACAGACTCACAGTGTATTTCCACCTGTAACTGCTAGACGTTGCTCCCAGCTGCGAGCCTGCTGCAGCTCAACGGGGTGCGGGACGCCTGCTGTAAGTTCCTCCTCAGCCAGCTGGACCCGTCCAACTGCCTGGGCATCCGAGGCTTCGCTGACACGCACTCCTGCAGTGACCTGCTCAAGTCGGCACACAAGTATGTCCTGCAGCACTTTGTAGAGGTGTCCAAGACAGAAGAGTTCATGCTACTGCCACTGAAACAGGTAGGGCTGATGCTTCTTCTGTCTCCTGCAAACTAGTGCTTTTAAAGAAATAAACAGTTGTTGGTTATCTCTCTACTGGAAAACAGCTCCCTGTTTTTGTCATAATGGTAAGTTGCTTCCCATGACATTTAGCAGTGTTGTTGTTGTTTTCAATGTAAAAGCTGCTGCCTAGTAGACAAAGCATTTCCTGATATGTCCCAGTCTCACGTTACGTTGTGACAGCTGGGGCCAGTCGTATTACTTTAAAATGTCATTGTTTTTAAATTCACGACAGACAACTATTGACTTTAAGGTCAACAACGTGCTGCTATTTACGCTTCAGTGGCTCAGCTTGATTAGTCCACCCAGTTCCTTAGAAATATGCCAAATAACACAGAGATATTGACATAATAAGAAGCATTTTGTCTTGTTCCTGCATATTGTTTGGGATGTTTTTCTCACTAATCTGAGCACAGTTGCCTGCAAACACACCAGTCATGTTTTTTCCCCACCACACAGACGCCTCAAGGGAAGTGGCCATGAGCATGGCGTAGTGTTTTTAACATTCATTAGAAACCCTCTCCTCTTCCTCAGCAGGCTGCATCAATCACTGTCTCATGTGGCTTTATCATCCCACTGTGCTGCCGTGGACTACTTTATCTGGCACATCAACTTAGCTAAACTATCTCTTATTCATCAGCTGGGCTCAGCAGAGGCAACGCTGTGGTTCCTGCCCTGGAAGTGGTAATTAGGCAGAGCCAGTGACATTTTCACAGCTGCTATACTGTTTATAGAGCAAACAGCATTGCTTACTTCTCTGAGGTTTCAATAGGGGTTTCTTTTTTGGTTGAACTAATTTACTGTTATTTATTCAGCCAAGATTGTTGGGGAAATTCAGGTTAGATTTAGGCAAGCTAGTTGAGTATTGGAGCAGCGGTGGCCAGAAGGTTGCTAGCTGGATTCCCAGAGTAGTGAGATAAACTGCTAAAGTGGCCTTGAGCAAGGCACATAACACCAGCTCCTCATTAGAGCTGCTCAGCTGCCAACAGATCCGACTGCAGCTCGATCTTAGCGTGAGTGTGCGTTGGGGAGGGCATTCCTAAAAAAGGAAAACATTGTTTTCAGAGAAACTTCCCCGGTTAAATAAAGGTTAAAGAAACAACGAAAGCACAGTCTGTGATCCAGATTTAAACAAAAGGATAGCCCCACCACCCAAAATCAACACACAGCACTGGGCTTTACAAATCTGATGTTAAAGCACCACTGCACATATTTTTCAACTATACTTGTAACTCTTCCTGAAAGGTCATAAACATGATGTTAAAATACCCAGAGTACAAACTCAGTTCTTTGGGTAATATTTCAACCTTTTTTTCATTTTTAATCTTTTGTTGATTCTTATGTTTTTGCCTTTATTTACAAAATATCACACTACACCTAAACGCCCGGCATGTTAGGGAGAAAACCGCGTCATCTCTTGTATGAAATGGCGTCTGTTTCAAACAAATGCCTGTTGAGCCGTGTCAGGTGACAATGAATTAAAGTGCCGCTGAAAAGAAATAACAAACAGCTGCCAGCATCACTTTCCCATTATCTTCTCACCTCTCTAAGGAACAATCCCCACAGCACTGACGAGACTGTGCTCCTTGAGGGTAAAACTCAAAGCTTCTCTCTCCGTCTGTGGCTTTCAAAGTCTTGAGACTGGATGTGCAGTGTGAGTGTGTGGGCACAGTCCATTAAAACAGTGAAAGTTAAGCGGCATGAAGGCAGATTAAAAATAGACCATTTTCTCTTCTTCATCTCTATTCTTCTGTCTCAGTCTTTCCTTTGGCGTACCGCCCATTCTGTCTGCAGCTGTTCTGTCATAAATCTGCAGATCTGGATTTATGTACTGGCTGCTCTAAAGGACTCTGAGCTCATGGAGCTGTGAAATACGCCCCGTTTTTCTTTCGTTGTTCTGTGAAGGAAGTGGCAAGGCATGACAGGATTTTGACTGGCCTGCTCTGGTGATTCATCACTGATGTAGCATTACATGTGTGACATTATGAAGACAACAAAGGATGGGTGTATCCTGATTTATTGTGTGCATAAAGACATCTTAAGCATTGTGATTTAGCCTTTTCATTCATTCATCTCTCATTCCTGCTGCCAAACCACAAGGTCAGTTAATACACTCAGACACTCAGGCGATCTTCTTTAAATCTCCTCTTCAAACTCACACTATTGTTTGAGTTTACATGATGTAGTATGTGCGTGCAGAGGTAAGAGGGACTGCAGGGTGGAGCAGCAGCAGTAGCAGTATTCCTCTGGGTGACTGGATTAGTGGAGGCTGTTCCTGGGAGGCTGTTAACTGTTGCCCTGATCTGGCCAGGAAGCAGCAGCAGCAGCAGCTGGCTGCTCTGGCCCCACCCAGCTCTGCCAGCTTTGGGTTGATCTGGGAGCAGAGCCAGCCAGCCACTCAGACTGCAGCAGTCATTGTGTCACAGACACACACACACACATATACACACACACACACATACATACACGTGCGCGCTCTAATGGTAACTTAAATATATCACAGCACTACTACGTACAGAGACCTTGATGTGACACGCAAGCATCTTTGTGTGAATGGTCAGAGATAAACGGGTTCCTAAAATTATTTTGTTTTGCTTTATTTTTCATTGATTGATTCAATTAAACGAGTGTCATTTTAAAACAACGCAGACAAAACAGAGCGCCAGCAATCCTGTCAAATATCAGTCTGGATAAAGTGTAGCAAGACAAGGGAGAGAGAAGAGAGGAAGAAGGAAGAGAGACGACAGCTCAGCAGAAAAAGTCAGGTACAATGAGGAGGAACTGTCTGAACAGAACTGTCTGTGCCAGCGCAAGTTACTTCCTGTGTGTTGACATGTTCACCACTTCCGCAAATGCGTATCTGATGGTCACAGTTGAATTAAAGACACTGCGAGTTTAAAGTTGTTCTTGTAAATCATTATGTAGAAGGTTTCTGCCCATCTGCTTTGTCCTCTGCATCCAGGTCCTGGATTTGATCTCCAGCGACAATCTCAACGTGCCATCTGAGGAGGAAGTGTACCGGGCTGTGTTGAGCTGGGTGAAACATGATATAGATGGACGCAGGCAACATGTACCTTGGGTAAAACTTGTCCCATCTCACCTGACAGAAGCACTGAATCTTTTTTAGTTTGACTATAATATACATAAAAAAGCCCCATCGTGTTGGCTTAATTTCTGCATCCTGACCTCCCGTCATCCTCTGTCCCCGTCAGCTGATGAAGTGTGTTCGGCTGCCACTGTTGAGGCGAGACTTTCTGATGAGCAATGTGGATACTGAGCTGCTGGTGCGTCATCACTCGGAGTGTAAGGACCTGCTGATCGAGGCTCTGAAGTACCACCTGATGCCTGAGCAGAGGGGAGTCCTCAGCAACAGCCGAACGCGCCCGCGACGCTGTGAGGGCGCCAGCCCTGTGCTCTTCGCCGTTGGTCAGTGTGCCCCTGAAGGTACCCACCAGGGTACACTTAGCCACACATCTCATGTCACTCATAAACTGTACAAACATCTGTATTTTTGTAACTGAGAGGTGAAAAACAGTGATATAATTATATAAGATCAGATATTGTCTGGGAGTTTTGCAGTATATTGTTTTCCAGTTTGTAATGTGCAGTAAAGTGAAAAACGTGTTTGAACTGATGTGACTGCAATTTGAGTGAAACAGAGAATGCCACTTCCTGCTTTGCTGTCGTCTCTAGATAGGTCTAGAGATCCATAACCATTTTTTAAGTTGCATGAGTCAGTCCAATTCAATCAGTGGTGATTTGTTGCTGTAGCCCTGCATAGCTTCAAAATACTCTCACAACTAAAAACATACAAATTCATTTCAAGTTTTTTTTTTTTGTCTTAAGCCTAAAAACTTTAATTTGCAATTACAAAATACTTGTAGCGTATCAAGTATGAAGTGTATCAAAATGTCAATATCCAAATAAAAGCCAATTCTTAATGACAGTTAAGACAGTAGCCAATGTGTGTCTCAGCCAGAATTACCCCACAGCTTGCAACAGTTCCTCTGAAATGATAGCACACATTAGCCAAAGGCACTATGCTTACAATATTACATTTTCATGTTTACATTACTGCTTGATGTTAAAGCATTTTGTCACAACATTGTGTGTCCCAGGTGGTGGCAGCCTGTTTGCCATCCATGGAGACTGCGAGGCGTACGACACCAGGACAGACCGCTGGCACATGGTGGCATCCATGTCCACCCGGCGGGCACGGGTGGGCGTGGCAGCCATCGGCAACAGACTCTATGCTGTTGGAGGGTGAGAAATGAAGACCGTTGACCCCCAAACTAGTCAACCCACCATCTTATCTTTTATTCAAACATTACATCGTGTGATGTGAACTAAACCTGACTTTTATAAGCAGGAAGCTTTGGCAGGCAGGGGATTTACATGATAAATGATCCTGAGTGACGGTTGTGCAAAAACTATTAGATTCATCTATGTGCTTCGGATAAGCTTTTATGGTCTTTCCTCTATTAAAAATGCCTGACTGTTTTTCTGTTGCCATGCATTTCATATATGAAGAGATTATTCAAGGCAACGTTCGGTCATGAAAAAGCCTTTTCTGGTTCATTTATATCCACATGTCCTCAGGTATGACGGCACCTCAGACCTCGCAACCGTGGAGTCCTACGACCCCATCACTAACTCCTGGCAACCTGAGGTTTCCATGGGAACACGGCGGAGCTGTTTGGGTGTCGCTGTCCTGCATGGGTTGCTGTACGCTGCTGGAGGTTATGATGGAGCTTCCTGTCTCAACAGGTACACACAGACTGACATTTTGGCTATGAGTGCCGGACATTTTGATTTTCTTGGCCAGATCTCAAAGACAGTTCATCTAATAGGACAGCCTTGCAGTGTCACTATATCTAATACATGTAAGTGTTTTTCTCCTCTTACAGTGCAGAGCGTTATGACCCTCTGACCAGTACATGGACCTCAATTGCTGCCATGAGCACCCGAAGAAGATATGTCCGAGTCGCAACTCTGGGTAAGATGAATATCGTGAACAAACTGCTCTACCGTATGTTTATGATTCACTGTCTATATTCTAATATCTGAAATCAAAAGGGAGTTGCCGCTTTGGTATTTGACTGCTGATATTTACATTCTGAGTGTTTACTCCCTTCTCCCCTCCAGATGGCAGCTTGTATGCAGTGGGAGGTTATGACAGCTCCTCACATCTCGCAACAGTGGAGAAATATGACCCTCAGGTAAATTGTATGCTGTTAAATTTATCATCAAAGTAAGTTGTCTGTTGCCTGGTTTAGATCAGGCGAACGTGGAAGGAAAAAAAGACAGGTGCAAATGTGCAGTCTCTTGATTTAACGAACAGAGCAACACATGGACGGCCATCGCCAACATGCTGAGTCGGCGCAGCAGTGCTGGGGTGGCCGTGCTGGACGGCATGCTGTATGTCGCAGGAGGCAACGACGGCACCAGCTGCCTGAACTCAGTGGAGCGCTTCAACCCCAAGACCAACACCTGGGAGGGAGTGGCCCCCATGAACATACGCAGGTTAGTAAGAGCGATATGCAAAAAAAAAAAAAAAATCTTACTGAATGGTATGGAATGGTAATATTTGCATTTCATCTTCACAAACCTATAAAAATCATGATGATGTGATTTTTTTTTTTTTTTCTGGGGTTTGTACCAAACAAGCATGTAGGTACGTATGTCTGGAGAATATGATTATTTGGCCGGGACATCCCTGTAGCACCACAATGCTTTATTTATAATGGAATGTTGTGACGCATTAAACCTTTATCAGTGTAGTTTCAGGTTACATCCGTGTTTATCCAGAGTCATGTAAAATATGAACCGTTCATGTGAAATCTTCTCATAATTACTGTCTGAAGTCTTGAGCAATGGCTAAAAACTGTTTTGGGGGGTCACCGTGACCTTGACCTTGAACTTTAACCACCAAAATCTAATTAGTTCATCCTTAAGTCCAAGTGCACATTTGTGCCAGCTTCCATCAAGGCTTTACTGAGATCTCATGTCCACGAGAGTGGCATGTACAGACGGACGTACAACCCGAAAACAACAACAATATGCCTCTGGCTCTGACTGTCGCTGGCTCTGGCTCTGGCTCTGGCTCTGGCTCTGGCTCTGGCTCTTGCGATTTGAATATTGCACATGGCCACATTGTGATTTTGATCATTTTTCAATTAAATGTTCAGCCCCAGTCTGGGTCCAGAATTCATGTTAAACAGCACAAGCGAGGCTTTGAAAAACAAGTACTGTATGTCTTTCAAAGCCGTTAAAAGTGAAATGAACTCTATCCACTGTGAACAGTGTAGCAAATACATTATTTTATACAACATTAGAAAATACAATATTTGTAACTGCCACAACTCACTTTCAACATGAGAGAGTGAAAAGGCACAAGAGATTCGAGCTCTGCAGAGATACGTTCAGCCACCAGGGCAGGTTAGAAAGCAGCTTGCAGCCAAATGAACTTCTACTTGTTATATCACAAAGATGCCATTTACTAAGTTTAAAAACTTACTAAAACAAGCAGAATCCATCCGTCACATCTATACTAAAGACACCTTAAGCCAAAGTTACACAGCTGCTTTATGTTTAACAGTAAAAAGACTCTCTATTACAATCTATACAGAATTTTGCTGTGTCAAAAATATGCTTTTTTTTTTTTTGCTTTTGTTTGCATGACCTCGTACAGTTGAGAGGGACAGAGAAAGATGTGAGGGGAGATGACGTGACAAAGGACCTGGGATGGATCCAGGGAATTTAATTAAATGTGACACACCTCAGCCAACTGAGCCATCAGGACAACCCGGTCCTGCTATTTCAAGTGCACAGGTTCATCTCATAGTAATAATGATGATGAAATCTACTGGCCTCAAGTGCACTCAATATTTTGGCCTATCCAGTCTGTTCAGCTTTTATCCTTCTTTTGTGCTTCAAATGGCACCTTGGTGAGGAAGGGTGGATGGTCCAAACCCCAGTTTTGCCTTCACTTAGGCAGAGGATGAGATCTCCTTTGAAGTGAAACTGTAGTGCTGTCTGTATGGAGCTTGTCAAAGCTTTTACCACGGCTGTGATTATTTTGCTCTGTGGAAAATCTTTGCTCCTCAAGGCGTGGGATTTGGGGCATCTGAATGTCTTCTTTACTGCCTAAACCTTCTTACCGCATAATCATCAAATGACCTATTTTACACAACAGTCGTCTCTGTCTTTTTTCTTAGCAGATGAAACTTGTCTTGATTATCAAAGCAGGCTCGCATGCACAGCGTCACAGCTTTGTATTGATACAAGATCGGCATCAGGGAGGGGATCTAGAGACGTAGCAGTCTGATTGGTGAACACATCAGCAAACTGACTTATTCCCCTCGGACCAGACGCACACACACAGACACACAATACCTTGCCTTTGAGTCAGGTTTCCCTGCTCCTACACTATAATGACAACAGTTGACTGCGCAGCTCCATGAATAACTCATGTGTTAATCAGCTGTGTGGCTTTGAGTGCTTTTCTTATCTAGTTGCCGAGACGCTCCATTTTCACAGTTCCAAAACATCACGCTGTGTTGATCCCTCATCTGTCACTCCTCTAAAGCCACGTTCAGCACGTGCTGATGTGAAAGTATTTTGGAATGATTGTCTGGCTCAAAATAATCTTGCTACTGTATATCCTGTTGATGAAAAGATTTCTATTTCCACTGGTCCTCTGCTATAATTTATAATTAACTAAAGTATTATTGGCACTTCTTGGTGTCCTCAGACTGTGTGGCACAGGAGGAATTATTAGTTACTGCAATAATGATGAAGGGTCAGTATTTTTTATTGAAATATATCAGTTATTGTTCCCTATGTAAAATGCTTTCATCTCACAATCTTTCAGTTTTTCAATGCAGTCACTGACATTGTTCATCGGTGTGACTGTAATGCAAAACCCACACTGCATCCAATGTAAATTAACAGGCGCTGACTTTTATTGTCACTCTGTAATAAACCTAGAATTAGGTAGATGAAACAAATCGCACAGAGATTATTTATATAAGAGCCACAAAAATGATTTGTTATGTGGCTCATTAAAAAATATGACTGTACAACAAACGCAGAATTTCGATTTTTCTCTCTGTCTTTCCAGGAGCACCCATGACCTGGTGTCTATGGACGGCTGGTTATACGCAGTGGGGGGTAACGATGGCAGCTCCAGTCTCAACTCCATCGAGAAATACAACCCGCGCAGCAACAAATGGGTGGCAGCCTCCTGCATGTTCACACGGCGCAGCAGTGTAGGCGTGGCAGTGCTGGAGCTGCTGAACTTCCCGCCGCCCTCCTCGCCAACCCTCTCAGTTTCCTCCACCAGCCTTTGACACGGGGTCACCGCTTGGCTGAGCTCAGCCTCCGCTGCTACAGCCCAGACTGGCTCTGGGAAGAGACGCAACTGCTCAGTTTGTCACGGGGAGGAGGAGGAGGAGGAGGAGGAGGAGGACAGGAGAGGAGAGGAGAGGACAGGTAAATGGATGGAAGGGGGAGAAGAGACAGAGGAATGGTGAGGATGAGGCTCCTGGTTTGGTTCATAAACAGTCACCTCAAGAATTAGTGGCACTCTTGGTAAAGATTTGCCAACCAAAATGTGCAACTTAAGTCATGAATTTAGCAATTTGATTTAAATGTTCCACAAGTAACTACTCATTTTTCATGAATAGTTAAGGGACGACAGATGATTCCTGAAAGATCCACCATCTCATTTTTTTTATTTTATCATATCGGTCATTGGTCAAACCAATCTGGCTGCTTTTTACCAAGTTTGCCGATAATTCTAGACCCCACTATGCTGATGCCTGAAGCTCCACTGTACAGCTCCACCATACAGACACCAGCTCCCACTCTCTTCATGAGTACAAAGATATTCCTGGATAAAGATGTGTGAAAACTGACCGGTCTTTCCCCAAGCCCCACTTTTTTTTTCCCCACCACTCCAGTGTTTGACACACTCATCGTGAAACGTGGTGGACTCTTGATTCTGTCATGTGTGATGTAAATGTTTTTTGGTTTGATGTTGCTGTCTTCTGCAAGATTTTTTTTTTTTTGATGTCAGGATTTTTTGCAATAATGTATAAAACAAAAAAAAAGAGAAAGTGAATGATTTTACTTTTGGAATGTAGCCTTTGACTGGTTGTACCATGCATGTTTACGTACTGGCATTGACTCCTAACAGGAGGATAAAATGTTGTAGTGCTGCTATGCCACACTAGGTGGCAGTAACAGGCAATGCTGTAAACCCTTCCTGCACTGCAAGAGAGCATGGACACCAATGACATAGAAAAGCTAGGTCCTCAGATCTGTACAAGAGTTTGGAACTTTTTTTTTCTTTTTATAAAAACAGAGAATAATTATGTTGAACTATATGTATTTATAAAAATGAAATAAATTCTAATATATTCTGTTTTAAAGATGCTCAGAAGGAAACGGACAGACCTATGCCTATTTAAGAGTGTTTTTAATATATTTATTTAGGTGTGTGATGTGCATATCGTCAATGGAAATGACTAAGAGAATGTCTAAGTGTGAGAGAGGTAGTTGTTCAGCTTGTGTGTGTCGGGAGTTTCTCCTGAGAGGACTGACTTTTGCATTTTAATTTTAATTAATGTTTCTTCACTGCCACAAGCATGATCTCATATGACACTGTATGTTACATTTGTGCAAAAGGCTTCAGTTGCTTCCAAACTTATTGACCAGTCAATGACGGGACTCAATGGTTTCTTTAATCCTACTTCTCTATTATTTTTAAAAAGACATGGAGGTGGATATCCCTGGACTTGTGACAGCTTACAATGACATTAAAGCAGCAAGTACTAGTTTACCTTCAGTATACCAACACTTGACACTAATGAGTAACGTTGTTGACACTTGGTGCTGTCATATTCCCCTCTACACTCTCAAGTGTAGTGTCTTGTTATATTACCTCATTGTTGAAATGGATCCAGCTCTTTTGCAACAAACATGAACTAGGAACCACCGTATGATTAACCACACATATACTGGCTATAGAACCTGTGGTGAGTAATTTTAGGAACGTCACCACAGAACTCGCATCGTCTAAAAGAAATGGGTCACTTTGAGTCTTTTCAACTCAGTTGAGAGTCAATACCTGGGTTCAGTTCATGTGTAGCGCGGTGATACCATTCCAGACTTCTGAGAAGTTGCCTTTTTTTTCCTTATTTTGAAGGATTTTGTTGATTCGGTTATGTTTATCTAAAACTACCTTACTTTTCATTTATACATTAGTGGACCCAGTAGAATAGGGGCTGCGGTGGTCTTATGGAGACGCTGTTATTCTGTAAAGTCGATGTGCGTCAGGGACAGACTAGAAAAAAAGGTACATGAAACCACATAAGACTTTGGCCTCCATTCTGCTGATCAAACTGTAAATAGAAAGATTGCTAAAGTTATCTTTAATCCATTTGTGCAATTTCAGTGTGACTGTAACTTTTTTTAGTTTGTGTTTAATGTGGTGACAATTGTTTATTTATGTTTGTTATTTAAGAAGAACTTTAAAATATTGAATTTTGCACTATTGCGAAATGGGAGCAATACTACACACTGTAAAAAAAAACAAAAAACAAAAAAAAACAAAAGAAATAAAGTGGTTTTCAGATGTGATAACTGTTCTGACAACTTTGAGTGCACACACACACACACACACACACACATACGTCTCACTGTACTTACTATATCTCACTCTGGATAAAAGAAGCAGCTAAATTCCCAATGAAAACTGAAAACATACAAACACACACAAAGACTCAAGGTTGCGTTGCTAACAATGTTTGTTGCTAGGTTGCCTGTACACTGTTGCCTGGTACCTTCCCAACATACTCCTCTTTCACAGTGATCTGAGCAGACAGCTGAACACTCTCACTTTACCCTTCTTGACCTCAGTCACATGGCATTCACACCTGTGGCTGCCTCTGCACACACTCAAACCTATGAACTCCCACTCTCTAAAATACATACAAACACAGGAGCAAATACACACAGAGCTACAGCTTTGAACGAGAAGAAAATAAGGCTACGACTGCACACACAGCTGGTTTAACAGTGCATAACACATGGAGACACATCTGTGCATTTGTTTGAGGCTTTGCTACACTATATACTACACACACGCAAAATTAAAATGTTATGGTGAGACACTCTATTTTAAAAAAGTGAATCTTTTGCTTTTTCTCTCACCTATAATGTGAAAATGACAGAGTAAGAATATGATGATCTCTATTACAGTTTTCATGAACCAACATGGAGCACTACATTTGACTTCATGTTGGTTACAGTTGACAGGATGTTCTGACATGTTTTTCTGCAGCTTCTGGAAGAGATACAGAGCTTCCATGATGGTTGGTCGGTAGTACTACAAGCAAGCAGCGTATTTAGCCGTTTAGCCACACTGTATGTTGGTGGCACATACTGGACATGTGGACGGTGGTTTGAGAAGTTTCAATGGACTGGCACTGTTGGTCACTGTTACCACTGACATCCAATATGATAAACATGAAGTCAAGCTGACCACAGCCACTGCCCTCGATCAAAGACAAACTTCCAACTTTTCACAGCCACAGTTTGAGCCTGACTGGTTGGAATATTTGAAACTAAAATGATACGCGTTAGGGATTCACTTGGATTTCTGTGTTGGCATGACTCTGATCCTTATAGGTGTGTGTCACCGCTGCTTCTATGAAGATGCTAATGAGTTTACAACCTGCCTGCATGAATGTGCTCACTCTGGGGGAGCTGCTGCAGCTGATCTGGGGGACGGTCGGTTCCTTCCCTCCGTCTTCCCAGCATTCCTGCCACTGGAGCCTCTCCTCTTTCCCTTGGTGTCAGCCATTGCACAGCCCTTATCGGGCCATGGAGATGCTGTCACCCTCTCTGGAAGGACTGAAGTGTCAACAGGACCACTGCACCCACTGTGAGAGGACATACACTTTTTGACCTGCTACTTAGGATAAGAGCAAGCCTGTAATGGAAAATCTATCAACCCCATCAAAACTATTTATGACTGTACAGCTCATGCCAGTGTGTTCATAGTCGAAATAGTAGAGCAAGAGTTGTGCTCAATGGCAGACCGGCAGTGGGTGCACAGCACGGACAAACAGAAACACTTTATACAACAGTCTCTCTGCAGTCAAATAGCAGCGACTGTAGATCACAATTCAAAAGGCAGCTACACAAGTGAGTTACATTACTTACAGTTGCAATTCATTTTGTCTGTCAACTTTGACAACCCTTACAAACCCATTTCAGAAGATTTTCAAGGTAATGTTGGGGCAACTTACAGAAGAACAGAGAGGACAGACAGATAGTGACGTAGACAAATTATTAGACAGGAAAATTATGGAGCAGAAAAATAAAATTAGCTAATGAGAGATAAAAAGAACTGTAAAATAATTAGGTTTTAATTAAGTTCATCTACTGAATGATAAAGTAAAGTAAGTTTTTCTTTTTTAAATTTAATAATTTCACTTATTATTTATTGATGTACTTTTACTACATGTTGTCAGTTTCAGGGCTCATAAGATACTGTAGTAACAGGACACTCAGTCACAAACAGCAAAATGAGAAAATGTGGCACATTAAAAGTCTAAAAAACCATCAGGTCCTGCTGAACAAGGAAAGGAAAAGCTGCTCTGTTTATTAGAATTTAACAGTATCAAAGTGCACCCTGAAGGTACACAACAAGGTACTGCATTGTAGAAACTACACTCAAAAATGAGCACTGATTTGAATCAACACCTCAGACAGTTCCCACAAAACTGCCCCCAGTACATTGGTTTTACCAGTGTACATCAGTTGGATTCTTTTTCTGTTTATTTACCATAATATCACATATATTATTATTTATTTCTACATTATATGGATTTCTTTTAAGTGTATACAGAATACCTTGTAATAATTAAGATAGATAAGCGTTTTTGAAAATTAAAGTATATAAAATGGTCAGCTCAATATGTGCAGTCGTTTCTCTCATTAGTTTTTGTTATTATTATTTTAACAGTTAAGATGTCAGCCAGATAAATCATGAATCATGTTGTTTACAACACTTATTGTAATTTGTCTTGTTGCTGATGTTGTCTGTTGCTTTTCACACAAATGACAGTAAATCATAGAACAAAAGATAAATTTCAACAGTGAGTGTCTATGTGCATGTCTATAGTCATTTCACTAGTTTACTATAATCACATAAACTTGTACCGGGCATCCACAGAATTTAGAAACTGAAACAGTTAATCTGACTTTGACTGATCTTGTCTTCAAAGGAGGACCACGGTCCAATTAAGAATCCTTTATGGTGGTCCTGTGTGAGAACTTTGGCACGTCAGAGTCTCTGTTGGACACCTGATGTTGGGGGCCTCATCTCCAGACTCCGTTTTAGTGGCCTGAGGTGTG